CAATTATAATATAATACCTTGCCACAAGGAGGTCTGAATACAGCACAACAGTGACTAAGCACCATTTGCAGGTCAGGGATTTTTTTTTTAGTATTTTGAAAGCTCTGCATGGAAGACAGCTGTTCTGGAGGAGCCGTTTTAATAACAAGTGCCACAGAGCATCTGTGCGCAGAGAGTTTTTAGGAGATACTGTGGAGAACTGAGAAGTGTTTGTACAGTGGAGACACTGTACATGCATTTGGATCTTAGAATATAAGCACACATGTAAGTTGGCAGGATGGAGAGTCATGTCAGTTTGGGAAGGTAATTCCAGGCTCCCATGTTTGCTTCCTAGCTGCTGCTGACTTCCTATGTGGGTCTGAGCAATTTTCTGGTGCTCCTTACCTGATCTGACCCATTTTCATTTCTATGATGGATCTACTATTACTTACCTATTGTTTAAAAGTACCTGGAGGTTTACTTAATTAGTATTTTTAATTCATTAATAGCTCTCAGTTAGGTTATAGCTCTCAGAGGAGAGACACTCTAAGGCAAACCTCAAATCTGCCTTCCCATCCTCAGTTATTCCTGGTCCAAGGTAGAATCTCGACTTGTCTCCCTGATGATGTTCCTTGAGGATGTCTACCTGTCATCTGAAGCTCCATGCAACTAAAGCAGAGCCTTTCATAGAACCACAGAATTACAGAATAGTTTGGGTTGGAAGGGACCTTTAAAGCTCATCTAGTCTGAGACCACTGCAGTGAGCAGGGACATCTTCAATGAGATCAGGTTGCCCAGTGCCCCATTGAGCCTCTGGCCACAAGCTTTCATCACTACCTCCTCTCTTAATCTGTTTGAGCAATGCCAGCATCTTGCCCATCCTCAGGTCCAGATTATGACTTCTCCTACCAAGTTATTTTTCTAGGTCCTTGCATGCAGTTATATCTAAATTCTGCTAATTTTTTTTTTGAGCTACGCTTCTTGGTTTGGCCATTGTTATTTAATTGCACAAACTCCTGTTTTATTCCTGCACCTCTGCCTACCTGCTGACTACCTGCCTTGTTTTCTGTTTTCTCATGCCTCAGTCCATCCTCAACATGTTTTGAGTTGAATTGAGAACTCACATGGGCCATTTTTGATGTCCGTTTCACTTGCTGACATGCTGTCCAACATCAAACCTTTAACAGGCGAAATATTGGGAAGTCTGTGTGCTACAGAGCTCATGATAGGAAAAAGAGTTGCTACTGTGCCTTCTGTTCATCAGAGCAGTAGGACAAACATCTCATTCTGCCTGTCTTATTCTACTTTTCTTTCTGTCTGAAGAGATGGGACATATTCCAGGCACAAGACTTAATCATTATGTTGCAGAGTTCAGGAATGAGGAAGATGTTTTTCTTCATCTCCATAATAAGTGTAATCTTATTTTATGAAAATTATTTCATTGCCAGAGTAATTTCTTGGGATGCAGCCAACAGAAGTCCTTTGTCATCATTTTTCTAAAAAGTAATGCAGTCTATCATTCATTAAAAGGATGTGAAAAGTAAATGTGACATTTTTGTGCAAAGCACACTGGTTTGGTTTCACATTTTTGGGCATAAAAAAGGGAATTCCAGACCACATCAAGGCAATTTTTTTTCTTCCTTGCCATTTAACAGCTGCACTGGAAATGGTGGATATTTGCACAATCTCCTTACAGGGTCTCTGATATTTTCACCTACTGAAAACAGGTGTGTACAGTCGATGAACCTTATTAAACCTGAGTTAGATTTGGCCCTTGGATGCTCACCTGCAATGACTCAACTCCAAGTGGTGACCTAGTACAGAATCCCTGCAAAGCTCCTTTGGTATACTGAGCCTTAGTGGACCCAAAACTCTTGGGAGGGCACCTCAAATCTTTGCTCTACTGCTTCTTACCTTGTCTTCAGTTTCAAATAGTTTGTTGAGATAATTGATGAAGACTGATTAATGGGACATCCTCTTGACTTGGTTTCTTATCCATTTGCTTTGGGGAAGTTTTCCTTGTGTGCTTGTGAAGTTTTCAATTGCATTGATGTTTTGACAGTGGATGTATAGGAATCTCAGCGCTGAACGTGGTAGCTTTACATTCCAAAGTAGATCCAGATTTGTCCTACTGTAATGTTTGGTTTCCTTGGCTCTGGCATTCCCAGTTCCCTGGCTACACTGACGGTGGAGTGCTGGTTATCTGCAGAGCCACACTGCTGATAACAACAGGGGCTCTTTTGTTTTGCACTGCTGTCATGTTTACAGTGTCACAGGAACATGTGCAGGCCAAACCCATCGTGTCACACTGACAAAGCAGGTTGCAGTTACAGGAGATGCCAGGGATTTGTGAGTTCACTGCACATCCAGGAAACCATGAGGCTGACTTGATGATCAGCCAAAGCTGCACCTCGCTGCTCTTCCACAAGAGGAAGATAAGGACTCATGCTGTTGCTCTCCAGAAGAACCCTCTGAGAAAGAGGGTTCTACTGCTTGAGGCCTTGGCACTGAGGGCAACCCTTGCATGTCTGATCTCCTGGGAAACATAAGTATGAGGTCCCAAAGAGCAGACAGGAAGCTCTGACCAAAATAAAACACAGTGCAAGAAGTACTGGCAGAGCAGTAAAATGACAGCCAAGGCACCTGAGCTGTGCTGATCTGGCTGCCATGGAAGCCCCAGGGGCTGCCCTGCTCTGGAAACCACAGCCCCAGCGTGGTGGGAGGCAGGCATGACCCACACTGCCCTGGTGGCCTGGTGCCCATGCTGGAGCTGGAGTTATGGGATAGCATGTTTAAGCTGGCACCATGGCAGTTGTCCACATTTTTGGAGAGGATCCCACCACCAAGTGTCCTCAAGGGAAGGAAAAACCTTATCCAAGATAAGACATGATGTAAAATGTGGAGCCTGTAATATTTCTTATGGGGAATCAAAATTTTTTATGCTTTTCCTCCCAAAAAATGGGGGTTTTACCTGCTTTTAACAATCCCATTGAGTTTTGCTCATCAGTAGGTGATGGCAATGATTTGTGCAGAACTCCCTTGCTTTGAATAGCTTCTGTTTCAAAAAATGAGAGCTGGTAACTTGAGTGGGTGCTTCCCATCCCCAAGTCCTGCATCCAGTATATCCCTGAGCACCCCCCTCCAAGGGCACCAGGCCTGGCAGTCTGTCAAGAGCACTTCTGAAAATGACTCCAGTGAGTTAAACAGACCATATGGACAGATTCAATGATGTCCTCCAAAAGGGGAAACCTTACTCCTGTAAGGCTGCTGGTTTGGGAATCTGTGTGAAGAAATCTGGTTTTTGACTATATCAGGCTGTATTTATCTGGACTTTTTTTTTTTCCCCATAACTTTTTGACTAATTAGGAAAAAGAAATCTATAAGAATCCACATAATTTTATTCTGAGCCTAATGCAGTGGGTGAGGACTGGGCACTCTGCAGTCCTGGCACACGGCCCCCTGTGCATTACTCAGCAGGGTATGGAGCCAGGAGGAGGCACTGGGGGAGCCAGGCCTTGCACTCCTGCCTTCTGCCCATAACTGAATGAGAAAGATGCCCACATCATCTGGGGCTCCTCAAGCCTTCAAGGCTCTCAAATCAGTTCAGTTTATCACTCCATTTACAGCAAACTTTCTGGGATAGATGTAGTTTGGATCTGGCGGAAATCATCCCAAAAGGGCAGTCTGTAAGGGATTAATTCAAAGTCTAGATTCTATTATTCTGGTATTACTAGAAATGAACTTGTGTTACTTCTCTTAACAGAGTTAAAAGTTAGGGGCAGGAAAAATACACAGAAACATTAAGTTCTAAATTTTTTTCCACTTTCATTTGTGTAATATAAAACTGACTTGCTATCTTATCTGCTATGTATCCTGCAGCCAAAGTAATCCTGTCTGTGCCCTAGATTTTTATTAGCCTTTCTTGCTATAAAGGCTAATAAAGAAAGATTTGGTTTCTAGGACTCCTTTTAATTCAATTTACTGCTGCACTGCTTTTTGTATTGAATATGATTTTTCTGTAGTGTCCTTTAAGGATTCTTGACCTTTTCTAACCCGGGACATATTTATAGTAACCTGATCTAGTTTTATTAATCATTAGTGATCTTCCCAGCAGGGTACATTCCTTTGTCTTCTTTCTAATATGATTCACGATACATCCCAATTTAAAGTGCCCATATGATTGAGCTGCTATGCTGGGATTTATTGTACTAAATCAGACTCCAGTGGATGGAGATAAGAATTTTGTTTGTCAGTTTGCACAGCACTAGTCAGATATCTCCTGTCAAAGTCCTTGCATTTTGGTAATACCACCTTAACATTGCTCATGTAAATACATTTTAATTTTCCTTTAGCCAATTCAACTGTTTTACTTCTTAAATATTCAGATGAATATATTCTCTTTTGAGACTAGTCAAGGAAAAGGGCCCTAATAAATAAATAAATAAATAAAATCACAGAAATAGATGTGGAGATGGGCATGAACATCAGGTTATTAGTGGTGTTTGTATGGGAATGCTCACCATGCATAAAATGTTGTGAGTACAGCAATCTGCTCTGTGAGTTTGACTCTGTGAATATATTGATATGATTGGAGGTGGCTAAATGCAGGCTTAAATAGATGAAAAAAATTTAACAGTTTTAATACATCCATCTTGTACATGCAGTCCATCTATAAATGATATGCAGACTGACCACAAAATTATAAAAAATTAGAGATGTCTTTGTAGACACATAGGAGTTAACAGAGTATTCTGCACTGTTGTGTACACGCAAGTGTGTGTACATGTACTCATAGACATACAAGGTACTTGTAGCCCATGAGTTGTAGCTCCTAAACTTGATTTAAAAACTGAATGAGTTCATTATAATCCCACTCCCCTCCCCTAAAAATCCCCTAAAAAAAAAAAAAAAAGTAGTATGAGGAATCAATCTAATCTGCTTTACTAAATGAACATGTGAAAGTGCTTATCTGGGATAAACCTGGGTACTATACATATTTTTCTCTCTTTTTCCTTAAACAGAATGAAAATGCCCTTGTGAAAATAAAGGAGTTAGGAGTCGAGCTTGAAAAGATCAGGGAGGAAGTTGGTAAGTAGTACAAGAAAAGTAACAACAAAGTGATTTTCTCACTTTACATGATTTCCTGTGACCTGATCCTGGGGAACCTCCATACATGTTATGAAGTGTTTTCTGAAGCCCAGTGGCAAAGGGTTTTGTGATTTTGCAGGGCACCTTGATTTTACGTCTTTGTTGTGCAGATGAGTTTATCACCACACACACTTGTGCATCATCTTTGCTGTACAAATTGCTCTCCATGAATCCATAGCTTCTGTCCTCAAGCACCAGCACTGCTGAGAGGAAAGCACAGTGTGATGAGAAGTGGGAGCTTGGGACCATTGCAGTGCACAGTGACTGGGAATGCATCACCAGCTTATGAACATTGCTGTGCTTTGCAGTTCAGCTACAAACCAAAGGACACCAAGCTCAGAACTTACTTGTTAATATCTCTAAGGTCTCTTGCTGGTTGAGAGACAGAAAGAGCAATGCATCCCATTTGGTGTGTGTGTTCCCTGTATATCTGCATGCCCCTCTTTTCCTTTTTAGTTTCTGATCTAGACAGGAGAGAGTATGTAAAGATACTGCCCCTCCTGAGAGAGAAGGTGGGCTTCTGCTCTGGCTTCAGCCAACAGGCTGAGTTCTTCTGGGCTTAAGTCTCTCCAGAATGAGTGTGATGTTGGGTTCATCTACCTCAGGGCCCCTCTGAAGTGCTTTGGCTGATTGTCATTTCATAGAGAGCTTTATTGTCCCCATGGCCAGTGAATACTGCAGCAATGGCAAAACAGGTTTCCAGTTACTCCCTAATGCCTGCCTTGCTCCATCCTCTGCATCTCTACAGCTCTTACAGAAGAATTGTTGCCACTGGTGCTTTCTTCATGCAGGGCACACCTGAAGTTCTCAGTTCAATAGCCACTTCTCATTTGAGAGCCCTACCTCAATCTAGCAGGTTGGGTTTGCTCATTTTCCTGCGTGCTTTTCTAAGTGGTGGTGACATGGGAAGGAAAGAGATTCAGTGCTGGAGATAAAGAGCTCTGCTTCCATTTACACCATGTTTGTACAGCTGAAATGAGCACACATCCCCAGTGGTTTTGCTGGAGAGGAGAACTTTGCCGGGGGTATAACTGGTGTCAGTTTGGGGGCCCCAGAGCAGCATGCTCAGTAACAGGAGATCCCTGCTCTGCCTGCCCTTGCACATGCAGCAACAGACACCTCCTCTGCACAAAGCTGAGGCCTGGTGGCATGTGTGGGGACAGCTTTGGTGAGAACCACAGACAGCCCAGGAAAGCAGCCTGAGCTGTACTGCTTCAGAAGGGATATAAGCTGGAGTTGTGTGTGGGCTTTCTTCCTCAGAAAGGGAAAAGATGGTGTGACACAGTCCTTTCCTCAGCGGTCCTGTGGGCATGTGTAATGGAGAGGAGTCGTTACAGGCCACCTCTTCCTCCCATCACTCTGGAAGACATGGAGATGCTGAGCAGAGGCTGTTTGTGAGGGACACAGGTGGCTGGTCACCTGCTTGGTGGAGGAAATCCTCTCTGTGCAACCCTGAGATGCAGCATGGCCAGCTAGAACCACTCCCACCAGGGACAAACAGCAAGATGAACATGTGCAGGTACTGCACTTCAGCAGAATGAGAAATAATTCATCAGCAATAAAAATCTTAGCATATATCCATAAATATCCCTAGCATATATCCCATGTCCTATTATATATGGGAGGTAAATGACTCTGCTTTTTCGTATAAGTCAAAAATTGCTGCACAGTCTGTTTTCCTTTGGTATAAAAGTACAAAACTTAATTTTGTGAAACAACCAGTGTTTAAAAACCAGAGGTGAAATGGTAAATGCCACGTACATGAGAGCATTTCTCATCAGTGCAGCTCTTTGCAGTCTCTAAACAGTCCAAGCTGAGGTTATTACTGCAGATATGAGGGTGCTCCTTGGCACATGCAGCCCACCTGTGCTATAGGAGGATTATTTTGGTCTCACTATCAGATGGATCAGTGTGTTGTACAGTATTGTACATGATTTATGCAAATGAAAAATGAAACAGTCCTTTATTTGACAACAGCAATGTTGGGTGATTCTATGAAGAAATTCAGAGAAAATCAGAGCATATTATTTTGACTACAACCAAGCTGTAGTTCTGACTTTCTTCCATTACTTTAATAAGTAAGTTTTCATTAATTTAAAAATAACCTGTCCAGTTAAACAGCATGGGTGTTGGTCAGAAATTCCTGATTTCTCATGTGTAAATTCACCATGTCAGACTCACTGATGCAAATGCCTGAATGAATCAGTAAAGCCAGGCTGCACTAGCCAGGTTTGATACAGGCAGTGAGTCCAACACTTAGTTGTTTAGCTGTAATTGAAAGTTACAATTTGGGTGCTGAATGTGCTTGGTTTTCACAGTGTGCAGTCTTTAACTTCAACAGAAACTGCAGAATTCTGCTATGCAAAGCAATGAAACTGCAACAGAGAACCCACTGTTCAGAAAAATAAGAATATATGTTTAAGGAAAATTCTTGTGGTAAATAAACCATTGCTGAAGCAATAGCAGCAATGGACCATGTGTAAAAACAGCTTAGGGAGACCTGCATCCTTCTGGAGCCAGGCAAAATACTGAGGTCAGACGACACTGACCACTTTTACCCCCAGCGCTCCTGTGGAAGTATCACACCGCATCTGAAACCAGCGTGGGTGAAATTGGAAAGTGATTCTCCCTTCCCAGACCTGGGGAGGAGCCTTGGCCTCTATAAACACTGAGGGACTTGTTATTTAAAGCAATAAGGTTTGCTCATGTATTTTGCTAGAAATAGCAAGGCTAGGAAAACATGACAAGCAACCGTTCTACACTCAAGAGACCGATTTTTATAAATTATAAATATAAGCACTTTTCAGCTGCAACACTGAGTCTCTTTCAATAAAGAGGTTTTGAATACCAGCTGTTTCCCTTCAAACTAGTGGAAATTAAATGTCAAAATTACCTGCTCCTTCACTGTCAGACCAATGACATGAAGTGTGTTGAGAGGAGGTATGGAGATGCATAAAAAACCTGGATGAAGGAAAGGCAGTGAGATGTCAAGTTTAAAATTTTTATTATCTGTATTGTCAAGCATTTCAAAGCCAAAGCCTTTGTGCCATCTACTCCTGGATATGCTTCCCAGTCAGAGGACGCTTAACCTGAGTGTGGTGGCTGTGATTTGTGTGTGATTTTGGGGCCAAGGCTCAGGAAGAAGAGCCCATTTCCCGTGTCAGAAGGAAACAGTCCCTCTGTCAGGCCATAAGGCACCACAAGCTGCACTCCAGAATGCAAAGTGCCAGGGCTGGGGAGGCAGCACTGTGGCTCTGACTGTGTGGTGGGGGAAGGAAGGTCAGCCCAATGGTGATATCTACCTTTCCCTCGCCTCCCCAGCCCAGCCTGAAGTGGGTTTTGCTCATCTGTTGCGCACTCAGTGCTCAGGGAGTAGGGAAGCTGCAGTAGCCGGTCTCATTTAACCCAGCACACTGCCATCCCAGGAAATGCCACCTTGTGTCAGAGTCATTTCCTGCCTGTGAGCAGCAATGCAGATACCTACAGAGAAGGAAAAAGAAAACCAAGGTGTAACTCTTCAAAACAGACCAGTAATAGCTGTGCTCTGCTTGTCTTTTTCCATGTCAGTATTACATTCATGTAACTTTTCAGAGTAATTTTTTCTTTTTTCCACAAGAGTAGCTCACTTTAACAGTATCCCTGTCTTGATGCCTGAAAGATAAATCCAGAGTTTTCCAGCAGCACTTCAGGTCACCTGTTCAGGCATCTGTTATGGGGTCCCTGCTGGAGATGACCCAGCTGTGTCACCAGGACCACACAGCTGGCCCCAGCAGGACAGGCTGTCCCACCTGCTGCAGCTGCAGACCCCTGGACTCCATGGGTGCTGCCTTCTGCCATGGCTGTCCCAGGAGAGCTGGGCACAAAGGTCCATCTCCCTGATAAGAAGAGATTCAGTTTTTCCTCAACACCTCAGTCCTCAGCCTCATTTGTCTTAGTCTGACACTTATGGTAGGGATCACTCCTTCTCATTAGAGGTGTTCAATATTCTGTATAGGACAAATTGCCTCATTTTCTGCCTCCAGTAGCATTGTTGGGTATATGGGGAACATGCCATGCAAGCTCACTTTCCCTGCTTCCTTCTTCCCTCCATTTTGCATCAGGGTCTGATTTGTGAATAGTCTTGTATTTCAGGTTACAGGATGTGTTTCAGATGAACTTTCTTTTGGTAAGAGCATGTTTCACTTCCCAGCCCTCCCTGTGTGCTGGTAAATCTCATTAGAGAGGCTGGAGAGAGATGGGGTTCATTACATCCCCTATTTAAAGCTTGAGTAAGTTTGAATTCTACTGAAGGCAGAGCTGCAAGCACAACCCCTCCTGCTCTGGGATCGCTTTACATGCCAAAGATAATAAAAAAGCAAAAAGCAAGAGAGAGGGTTTAGAGCCCTAATCCAGACTGCCGGGAGACAAGACATTCCAGCTAATGTACCATTCCATTCTGGAAATAAGGCAAGTGGGAATGCTTTCTGTGTGCTGCCAATGAGGTGCTGAACTCGCTGGTTCACTCTCTTTCAATCAGGAGCACAAAACTTGACAGGGACAGAGTCCCCCCACAGTGCTCCAGAAAATTCCAGAATCAGAACAGGAGCCCAGCTGTATTGTATTTGCAGGGCACCCCAACAAAGGCAGGAATGATGCATCTGATTCCATGTTCTCAGAAGGCTAATTTATTACTTTGTTATACTATATTATATTAAAGAATACTATACTATGCTATATTAAAGAATAGAGAAAGGATACTTACTGAATGCTAAAAAGATAATAATGAAAACTCCTGACTCTTTTCAGAGTCCTGACACAGCTTGGCCCCCCTTGGCCAATGAGTCCAAACAACTCACACCAGAATCCCATGAAACAATCATCTGTGGGTAAATAATCTCCAAACGTATTCCAGATGAGCACAACACAGGAGAAGCAAATGAGATAAGAATTGTTTTCCTTTCCTCTGAGGCCTCTCTTGCTGCCTGTCAGCTTCCCAGGAGAAAAACCTTGGGTGAAGGGATTTTTTCAGAGAATGTGAATGGCACACAGCAGTGTTTTTCTGTCTGGACATACTGAGCAAATCTGGATATTGGTGTCCAGTAAGTGTGGAAGCAGAGCTCTAAATAGGGTGAAAAATAGCCATGTGGGGAAGGGAATGGTTAGCTTGGGTGTCCAAACTACCTTGGCATGGGTGCACCTAACATAAGCTCTGGGGACAGCACTAGTAACTTGGACAAATTGTTGCTATCCTGGGAAAAATGAGCACAGTCTGACACTGTAGCAGAAAGAGGTAGGAAGATACAGATATTGAACAATGATGTTGTCATAGGAAAAATATGGGTTTGAAGCATTCAGCAGGGAGACAGCTGCTCCCAATCCTCTGACTTGCAGTGCCACATGGCCCTGTGCATGGCACGTGCATCTTGAAAGGCAAGGGAAGGATAAATATGCAGTCAGTTTGTTCAAAAACTTGATCATCTTTCTAAATCAACTATGGGTCTAAATCAGAAAGAAGATCTAGCAGTGCTATTAAAAACCCATTTCTCCTTTAATATTCTGAATGTTATGGTCAGGATGATTTTAATCACTGATTACCTGTTAGATCTTTACAAGTGAGCAAGCTTGCTCTGTAAGTGTACTCTGCCTGATCTTGTCCATCTTGCATCAAGTCTTCAATATCTGGATTTTTTGCAACTGTTCTTTAGCAAAGCAAATGGCTGAGGACACAGTGTTTGTGACAGTGCTTTCCTGGGACCTGGGGGACAGTAAAGGTGAAGAACCAAATGGGGAAATGGACTGATTTTCCTTGACTTGATAGAACTGTTGGAAAACAGTGGTGTGAATTCTGAGACATAGTGGGTTAGTTCACCAGAGTAAAAATTTCACACTTTCTGATTGCCTTTAGTCAGCCTGTCACTGTGCTCTCTGATGCCATGAAGCACACAAGATAGTGGTTTGAACACAAAAATATTTTAAGCAAGTGTGCGTTAATGGATTTGAATGGTCCTTGCTGGAGCTGGAGACAGGCTTATGGGAGGAGCAGCTTCGAACAGCTTGAAAATGGGAGTATGAGATTCAAGTGGTCAGTCATACCCCTTGTACAACAGAGTGGAGAGAAGCACCAGGCTCATTGCCCTGCCAACAGGTCCAATGCCACTGCTTGCTCCTGGGCAGCGTGAGAACTGTGTGGTGGTGTTGTCTCCACAGAGCTCAACACGGCGCGATGGAAGGAGCTGCAGAGCGAGAAGGAGCAGCTGGAGCGGCGCTTCCAGGAGGAGGGGCAGCAGCTCCGCAGGCAGCAGCAGCAGGAGATGCAGGCCCTGGAGCAGCGGCTGCAGCAGGAGTACCAGGCCAAGAAGGAGAGCCTGCAGGAGCAGCACAGGCTGCAGCTGGAACAAGCCAAATTGCAGCATCAGGATCAGGTCAGTCTCCACCTGTTGCCTTTGAAGAGTAGTCCATTCTAGTCCTGATTGGGTTCAGGTAATGAAATACATTGAACACTCCGACATGAAAACACTGGTAATGAGTTATGAGTGGGAAAATGTCATCCTGAATATCTTTACTGCTCTTTCTCCCTATTAGTTCTACTGTTTTTTCCATACACTAGTCTATTACATTGCCATGTCTTGTCTTCACATGCTTGCTGATGTTTTACAATAAAAATATTATCTCTGCTGCCCACACATACCTGCTCCTCAACCCACCTCTCTTAGTCAATTTATGACTAAAACCAAGGGTTATAAGGAGTTGTTCCACACAGTTCAGGCCAGCAGAGCCAGCCCATTGTTATTTGCTAGTTAAAGGGCAACACAGTGAAGCGATGGCAACCATGCAACACATGCTGCCTAAACATCAAGCACATGATGCACTCCAGATCCCCTGATTGCTGCCCCACCACTCAGCCTAATCTCTTGGACTGTACACCCTAAGTGTTTCTCCTTGCTCTGCTTTCTGTGTGTAGGCAGGAGTGTTCTCAACAGCAGCTGCTTTTATATGGTTTGTCAGAACAAACACTGGAACTCAATGCAACTGGGTTGTTTTGTCCTGGACAAACTACCTATTTCTGTTCATCAACTGATTTCTAAAGATGTATTAGAAGGTGCTGTCAAATAGGTCTTTATGTTCTAAATCAGATTTCTAAAAATATTTCTGAAAATATTTCTCTTAAATGGTTAGATTATATGCTGAGCCATGTCTTTTGGTTCTCATTTCAGTTTATGCAAGTTGGTTTCCTTGCAATGCCCTTCAAAATTTCTGCTTTTCTTTCTGAAATGAAGGAGGGGTTATGTTCCCAAAAGCCTCAACAATCTTTTCCTTTCACTGTGTCAGTGTGTCAGTCTGCCTGGTAGAATATGTTGGCTCTAGCTGCAAAGGCTTACCTTCCCTGGATCACCTGACATCAGCATTTGTGAAGGAATTTGTTCATTTTTTGCTGAAATAGCTTATAGCTCAGCTCTGCTCTCTTTGAAGTGTTTCTGTGAGCTCTCAGGACCAAAAGAACAGATGTCGATTCTTCTCCTCTCAAGCTGATCAGTGCAAGAAGGCTGTTCAAAGTCATTGTAGGACTTGATTAGAAGTGTGCTTATTTTTCTCATGTTTTCATCTGTTGTGACTCTATTCATCATCACGGAGAAGCAATGGAAACACATCCTTCCCTCTGTGGGGCAAATAGTTCTTGGTTCGCTCCAGAGCTCTGTGTTCCCTGATTGCTGAAAATAACACAAACATTCCTCTCCATTGCTTTCAAGGTGTGGCTGTGACCCAAGTATCTCAGAGCTTTAGCCCACATTTTCAATTCACAGTTCAGTTAGCATGATGAGTTTTAGCAGGTTTTCCCTTTGAATTCCTACTCTGCTGTGCACCCATCCTGTGCACAGGATGAGTGCTCTTGGGTCAGTAGGGGCTGACAGGCCATGCTGGAAAGCTGCTCACCAGCATTTCTTGGCCAAGGAAATGGAGCTCTTGCACTGCATGTGAGAAGAGCCTCGTGCTTGAGCTGCCCATCTGCATGAGGGGGATTTGAATTTGCATTCTTGAAGGCAATAATAATAGCAAAATCCTTCTGACCATGGATCTGCGTGTATTTCTGTATCCATAAATCTGATTTGGAAGATACTCATCCCACTTTCATGGTTTCCAGTCACAGCTTAACCTTCCATGCTGTGTTGCTTCAGTCACCACTTAGTTCACTATGAGATAGCTGTTATTTGTTTGGGGACACAGTTCCTGTGTCAGGTTTTGGAGGTTCAGCTGTCTCTGAGGAGGGAGCAGAGCATGAGAGCCAAACTCCTCCCAAAATGATCTTGTGTGCCAGTGCATGCTCACATCTCCTTGCAGCTAAAGGCAGAATTGCAAAGTAAAGGCTGTGATCTGTCTTGCCAGTGTTTCTCACTTGAGGTGCTCAGCTCAAGCTGTTTTGCCCAGCAGCTTGCTGAACTTCTCCCACTAGAGCTCCTCTTGATTTTACTTTATTAAGCCTTAAAAATCCCACCTGAGGTACTTTCCATAGCCAGAAATAAACATGACTTGTGTTAAGTGAGGTGATTAAGCTTCCAGAGTAAGTTATTAGCATCCAGGAGAGCTGCTTCCCAGTGCCAAGTTGACTATCTGCCATGGAAAACTGCAGACAGGACATCACTCTGGAAGATTAAAAAGAGCCGTTTGCAATGTGGATATGAAACACACAGAAGGCAGAAAAATCCCTGCAGATAATTTGGGACATGTTTAATTGGTTTTATAGATAAATAACTTGTCAAGGATGGTGGCAGCAAGGGGAGACTCCTTCACCTTCTGTGGGCATTGGGGATAATCATTCCTAGGGGGGCTGTTCAGCTGAGAAGCAATTAGAGTACAAATAAAGGCTTCAGCAAGGGTGGGGTAAAGAACATGGCAATGCTCATGAGGCTTCAGCTTGCAGACATCATATACAAGGACACTGTGCTCTGGGAAAAGCCAGGTGACAGTCCTTACCCCATTAGGAGCCCTTTGAGTCATCTGCCCCCACCTTTCTCAGCTCTGTCATGCAATATATCATCAGGCTGAGCCCCCATTATTTTGCAAACAGTTTTTCCCCACTGAGTTGTCTCCCACATTATTATGAAAATTAGTTTGGATAATTTTAAATTCCATGTTAGATGCCCAACTTTCATTTGAAGAGCATGTTTTCTCTAGTATGGTTGGAAATTTGGCTTCTGGTGGGTTACCTAATGCATATGTTTGACAACAAAAAGCACTGAAATAACATTTATTCAAGGCAAACTCAGATGAAGTAAACTTCTACCATTATTTACATAACTGTGAGCAAATAAAGCTGTTTAGAGTCAAGTCATTTAGCCATGAACAGAACAGCTGTTTCACTGTAAATGTAAAATAGTTTGATCCTCTGCCTTGCCAGATATTGCAGATAATATTGTATTAAATGTAGGGAATAAAATCACTGTGGTTACAAACCCCAGAAAATCAAATTGATGCATTGCATTCAGAAAATGCTCTGGACCACTGACTCAATCTTCATCAGGATTTCTTATTCTAATTCCTTTAATGATTCATATCAAAAGACCATCATTAGGGATCTCACTTTGCCTTTAGCCAAGTCTAGTAACAAACCATGCACTGAAGGAGTCCCAAACCCAGAGGGTGCTCTGGAACACAGTCCTCTTCCAGCTGCACTCCTCACTCCAATCATGGCCATGGGCTCTGTGGACATTGTTATCATTTAGATTAATGGAATGTCGAGACTTCTGAACATTGAATAAACAGCATCTCCACCTAAGGGCTTTTTCACCTTTTGCTTTCTTATGTACCTCTTCATCACCTCTTCATCTCCATTAAGTTAAAAAACAAAAAATACCATCAGCAGTGACAACATGCTACCACTCAAGGCATCAACATGGCAAAACTGGCTCAGGTGCTGCAAGTGTCACATTCAGTAGGTCCCTTTGCTGTCTCCAGCTCACTGGAGCTCTCCAGCAGAGGCTTGTCAGCGTGCCACAGCCTGTCTAACCGTGTGTCCATGTCTGTGCTCGCTGTTGCTGGAGCAGGTGGAAGATCTCACAGCTGTACATGAAGCTGCAATGTCACAGCTGGAGAATAACCACATAGTGGCCATTACAGTCCTGCAGGATGAGAACGACTGCAAGATTCAAGGTAAGCCAAAGTCAACCCAACAGCTACACAGCTGTTCCAGAGCAGGAATTAATGCTGTAGTGACACTGTGCTTCTTCCTCCAGAGCAGATTACACAGAGCATTTGTGATGGTCTAGTGCTTTCACGTGGGGGGGACCACCAGTTTCATGCTAGGGCAGAGGGAGAGATGTCTGTAGTCTACAACATCTAACTTTGACCTGAAATTATCTGAGGGGGGTATCTGGGTCAAAGATAAGGCTTTCTCTATGTGTTGCTGAAAATAGAATCCAAATTCCACATCACTTCTCACACAATGCTTTTTCAAGAGCCTAATCCTCAGATGCTCAGGAGGATAGAGCTCTTGGGACATCTCTGAATTTAGGTACTTAAATACCCACAAGTGCTTCTAAAAACAAGACTCATGATTTCCAGTAGCAAACTTCTGGCCATGCTGAGCAGACTGAAGCCTTTTGAAGTGCAAATCTGTGCCTCGGCTCTGTTACCTTTATTTTGTGGTAGAGTTTGGCCACAGGATTGATGCTGCAGACAGAGCTCTTCCCTCCCTACCAGTTCAGTGTCTAAACATTTGCCTTTGTGCATGCTTTGGCTGACATTTAACAGTAATCTGTACAATCTCCCTATTTTTTCCTATATTTTAAATATCTCTAGTAGGTTTTCCCACGTTTCCCAGACCAAGCCATATTGCTTAGCTCTGCATTGTGTCAATTAGAAACACAGTCCAGAGCATAACATGAACTCAGAACAGTCTATTCTCCTCTCTCATGGGCAGAGAAGGTATCTAGCATAGCATTTGTAAATGAATATACACAATTTTGAAAATAAATAAGCAAAAAGCTGATTATTACTTGAGGATAATCTTATCTCTCCAGTTTTATAGTATTTTCTGATGATAAAATTCAAGGTTGTGGTACATCAAGGGTCTGGTGGCTGAAGTTTGTGCTCCCTGCTCCTGGTGCGGGTGTGAAATGCCCTCCTGTGCCTGGAAAAGGCACTGCAGCCACTGGAGCCATGTGCCACTTTGTCACTCATCGCTGCTGTGACTGTGGCTGCTGAGCACAAGTCATGGCCTTGGCAGGGAAAACACAAAAAATAGTGTCCATATACTAAAATGACTGCTGCTACTACTGCACTGAATCATGATTTTATGGTATTGCTTTAGAGATTAAGCTTTATTTCACTTTATTTATTACACTTCTGGTAATTAGTGTGCCCAGGGTGAGTTATTCTAGCAGGAAAACCTTTAATCAAGTTTCTTGTTTTCTCTGTCTCACTACTGGAATAAACCTCTTAGCTCATCTACCACAGCTTGGGGAGAAGCACTGTCCTGTGTATTTTTGCATCTCAGGTGGTGGCCATCCTCTCTATCCCCCAAAGAAATTGCAACTCAAGCTTTCAAATTTATCCAGTTTTAAATCCTTTGATCTAGGGATTCTCACTCTGAACTGGTAAATGGCCCATTGTCAGACTGACCCTTTTCAGATCAGAGTACCTGGGAACTGAGAATTCTGAGAAGTTCTAAAAAATCAGAGCCTGGCCGTGTAGAAACAAAGGTATCTGCAAACAGCGAAAGATCAGGAAACTGATTTTCAGAACAATTTACCTAAGGTCACAGAACATATTGCTACAAATTTCCTATTCCATGTCCTAAAATTGCATCCCAATTTGCATGTGGCTCACAACATGTGTGCTCTCAGACCCTGGTTTGCTGGACTTCATCAGTAATTCATGTCTGTGTAACCTCTCCAGAACTGAATACTGCTCACAAGCTGGAAAAGGCACAACTGGAGGAGACCTTTGAGAAGCTGCGTCTGTCACTCCAGGTGAGCAGTTTCTTTGTTTCCCACCCTGTGATGTGCCGGGGAGCAGCCCTGGGCACGCTGCCCTCTGCCAGCACACCAGGCTCCTACCAGCTCTGGTATCTCCTGTGCTCTGCCTGTCCAAACCGGGATAGAGCAGCAAACCCTCGCAATCTTTCCTCCCCCTGGGCTGGTTCACAAGAGAGAGGAAACTTAAAGGGACTTAAAGGCATCTGGATGAAGAAAGAAATGTCTTTTTGACCCTGCTGTCTGCTGGCAGATTTGAGCTCTTCCCTGCTTGATGGGGAGGACTCTGGCACCTGCAGTGGCTGTGAGCATCACCCTGTCTGCATGGTACCCGCCAGCTGGCACCGCCAGGGGTCAGAAACAGCGACATCTCCCAGCCTGGCCCTGTGCCTGGGTCTGTGCTTTCGCCTCCTCCTGCTGCCTGAATGTGGGAAAGAGGGTCCCACGCTGCAGACACAGCTCCAGCCCCAGCGGAGGGCAGTGCAGTCCCTGCTGTGCGCTGCCCCAGGGCTGCCCTGCTGTGCAGCCAGGCTGTGGATGGGCAGGTCAACCCTGCACATCGCAGATCCCACTGCACATCCCAGTGCTTAACACCAAGGTCAGAGTCATCTAATCCTTCTAAAAACTCCGTGCTCTTCTCACTCCCTAGATGAAGAAATCACAAGGAGTGGAGGGCAGAACTGCATCCCCGTGACACAAGCTAAGGTTGGAAATGTGTGAACAAGTAAAGATGCCTGAGCAAATAATGCAAGCCCTGTTTGATTTCCCAGGCAGAGATGAACTGCAATTTTTAAATGTCCTGGCTAGCAGATATTGTTGCACTGCTGCAACAGCTCGAGGCATGTCAGCAGTTTTGCAATAAGGGCTGATGTAATGTTCCAGACAAGAAATCACAACTGTGAAAGATAAAAATACCATCTTCACAGCAACTGTGGATTTTACAGGTGTTGGATAGGCAGAAATGCCTTTGATGGTAACAGAAATATGATTGCTTAAAATAACATGTTGTTCCCATATATAGCTCTGAGATGAAATAATGATCATTTGAATTCCACACCACTAACTCATCATTGCTTGTTACCATGTTAGAAACTTAGAAAGGGGAAGGAAACAGGTATCTCCTGCCTCATTTGGACTCTAAGGACCACACAAATGCATGTGGTATAAATGCCAGCTCTGCCAAGGAAGGACATGTCTGCTCTCATCCAGCACAAGGTGATTTAGCATCAGCCACAGGTGTTACAGGGATTTTGTGATTCCCTGAGGCTTCTCAAATACCCCTTCTATGTTCAAGTGGCCCGATATAAAAAATATCACCTTACAGGGGCGTCTGAGCCTTATTTAGCTTCCCTGATAAACCACTGCCTGGTTTGGCAGTGCAGACTGACCAGTATGAATGTGAGAGGGCTGCTAACACAGCTGATGTGTTAATTGGTGTGTTTCCCCCCCAGGACCAGATAGACACCCTCACCTTCCAGAATCAATCTCTAAAGGCCAAAGCAGACCGGTTTGAAGAGGCTCTGAAGAAAAACACTGAGGAACAGCTGAAGGTAGATGACAACTCTAACTGTACAGGCATCAAGATACATGTTTCTAAGTATTTCACATCACCTGATTCAATGAAGAGCAGTTGGATCCTCATTCCAGGGGCACGGGGCAGGTCCCAGCTGAGATCCCAAATATTGAGCTCTGAGGAAGAGTCACAAATCTTAGCCAAAGGGGAAACAATATCAGGGGTCAAATGGGCTGCAGGGGACCAGGTCCAGGTAGTTTTCACACCACTGATTCTCCTAAATAACAGGGTTACGTGGAGGAATCTCTGTCTTATGGCTGAAGATGTATGTATGGCTGGCATATCCAAATCTCTGATATATTTCCTAGATTGTGAGAGCTCCGTATCTACACTTAGAAAAAGATTTGAAGAGCTTAAAACATGTTCTGGAAATGAAGAACCTCCAGATTCACCAGCAGGAGAAGATGATTATGGAACTAGAAAAACAGGTGAGTTGTCATTTTTCCTACAGAGGAGACATCACAGAGTTAACAAAGGAGAAGTTTGGTTACAGCAGATGAACTTAAGAGAGGTGAGTACCAACATAAGGCTGGGGCAAGACACAGTCAAAGAGGTTCACATCCATCAGTCTGGATTGCTTCTTCACACAGTAACTGCTCAGCATGTTAGGTTATACAGGAGGTGAGTGGTGGAGAAGAATGGGGGAAAGGGAAATTCGTGGTAATCCAGGGTACACCAGTCTGCACCATATGCCCCTACAAGCATCAGGTAGCTTTTTAGGGCTGGAGAGGGGACATGGGGGAAGGTTGAGCCATGGTGTGTCTTGCTGCTGCTACTGCAGGCATTTTGGGAGCCATATGTGGCTTAGCAATACTCAGCAAGCAGTTCTTAGCAAGGCTTGCTCTGGAAGAGGTCTCTCCAGCCCTCCAGTAATGCTTTTCTGCAGGCTATGCTGTTTTCTCCTCCTTTGCTTGTGGGATTCCCTAATGAAGAACTCCCCAGTTCACCATCAATTACATTTTTTGTGGGAAAGGGGATTCATTTTGTACAGAATAACCTGCAGTGACAGTAAAATACAGTGTGGTGACAGGATGAGGCAATACCTCAGCTGGGAGCTGTGGCAGCTGGTTCAGCACAGCATTCAGCAAGATTTGTTTCCATTTACAGGGAAATTTGAGAACTCTGGTGATTATTTTGCTGAACAGATGCTTTAGTAAGTGGATGCAGAGAAAAGTGCCTTTTTGCAACTGAGGCTTATTATCTCTGCTCCCAACGTGCTGCTCTTGGAGCTAAGCCAGGATTTGGAAACACTGGGCGGGGGGGGGGAAGTCCCAAACAACAGCCTATATAATTCCTAGTCCTTCAGCTGCTTTTGCTCATTAACTGCATGTGAGTGCACAGTCCTGTTACTGCCCTGCCCTTTTTCACAGTAAAACACTGGGTCTGCTGTGGCCCAAAGGCACAACTGCTTTCCATTTCAAGATACACCTTTGGAAGTGTCAGACCACCTACAGGACATCTCCAAATGCTCTGGAGCCTCACAAGGGAGCAAGAGGGCATTTCAAACACAGGGTCAGCCTTGGCTCCTTGGCAGCTGAATGGGAGGCTGGAAATGCAGGTGGCATAGCTACTACTTGTGAAAACTATTGAAGAGGCAGAGAGGGAGCCCATGATGGTGATTCCTCTCTCAAAACAGGGACAGAATCCATGTGCTGCTCTAACAAAATAAACTGGGACAGACCAGAATATCTGAGAATCAGGAGTATCCTTTACAATTACCTGCACAGAGCAGAAAACACAACCTAAATCTGATGTCTCCACCATTAAGTGTGAGTTATTGCTATCCCCAGTGCACAATATTTCGGATCTTTATAAAAGGTTGGGAAATTAAATAACCAAGCTCACATAGAGAGAAGGTTACCCTGTGCTATCTTGTTTTCTTTCAAAAGTGTTGAATTCAGCACAATTTTCAGTTGGAAAACCAAGGACTAAGGTGATAAAGTATGTCAAATTTCAAAGCCTGGGGAAGACAGGGTACCTGAGGCTGTGGAACATGCCTGTAGACATCTTACTAATGCACTGCTACTGATGTCCTCAAACTCTGCCCTTGAACTGTGCTGAATAAAAGCTACCTGTGCTTGGGATAGGATTAATTTCAATTAATTACAGCTTAAACTTAAATGTCTGGTTTAGGCCTATCATTTAAGCTGACATTGTCAGCAGCAGTGAGGAGTCTTCAGAGGCCAGCCCACCTCATGAGAATGCAGCAGCACTCTAAGGCTGCTGGTGGGTGACTCTTTCCTGTCCATAACTGAGGCATCATAATCCTGGAGGCTGGATGTCAGACTGCAATGTCTGGGAGATGTACATCATCCCATCTTGCACTCCATCACTAGGCTGACCACTCATACCACAGTGCTGGGCAACTTTCCGTGCTGGGTGCTCCTCAAGTGTCACCAGCACTTTCTCCAACGCATGGTAGCGCTGGCTCCTTGAGGGACAAAAGTTGTGGGGCACCACTGAGGAAAACATCCACTTGCACTGAACAAAACTAAAACCCTCCTCCCCGGTTATAAGTAAGGGCTGGTTCAGCTCTGCCCCTGCTCAATGCTCTGCTGATGGCCCCAGGAACTCCACCAGTATGATTGGTGGTGTGAGTCAGGTCTCTAAGTCTCAACTGCAGTCAGAAAACCACCTCCACCTACCCTCAAATTTTAGAAGTTTCTCCACAGATTAACATAGAACAAATTATCTTGGATCAAGTGCTGAGTGTTCTTCAGACTTAACAAACCTTCTTTTGCTGCAGGTTGAAAAAAATTTAAAACTGGAAGAAAAAATCACCATGCTGCAACAGCAGAATGAAGAACTCAGAGCCAGGATTGAGCAAAATACTGTCATAACAAGGTTTGTGCTGGTATTTGCAATCTGTCTGAGATTGAAAGGAGGCCCTGGGTCTTAATTGTCCAAGGCTGACACTTATTTCCGAAGGGGAAAAACTTATTTCCCCCTGAAAATGTATTTGTGTTCTGCTCTGCTTATTAAAAAAATATTTTTATATTGGGGTTTGCTTCCTTTAACATAAGGAAGGCCATGTATCTGTCTGTGTATTTCCATGATTTTGACATGCTGCTGAGAACAAGCTTGCCGGTGGTTCTGATCTCAGTATCAGTGCCCTGAGACCTGTTAGTCAGTGGGTAATGAGGATGCAAAATGGAAAAATCCTGGGAAAGACGTCCTAAGGATGTCATTGTCAGCCAGGCAGGATTAACCTTTGGCAGGTTTTTTCATCAGCACTCCCTTTTTGCAGCCTTGTCACAATGGGACAAGGGTGACAAGGCTCCTTGTTAGGTGACATATGAAGAACAGGGTAGGATAGTCCCTGTCCCAGAGAGTTTATATCATGCTGTAAGGCTGGAGAGCACAGCAGGGAAAAGGGGTGCCAGAGGGAGAAACTAGAGCTGGTCTTCTCCCAGCACTGCAGCTACCTAGCTGTCATGGAATCCAGAAATTATGCCACTGGCCAAAAATTTAATTTTTAGACGATTTTTTTAAACTGTCAGTGTCTCCTCTCTGATTTTAGTTTTTGTCTTTCTCATGCCTCATTTCTTAATGACTCAGCCTTTTGAAATTGTCTCCAACATGCAGATATTCTATCACTCAGATTGGGGTGAGAATTATGTTTTCTCCCACCTGATTGTAAATACCTGTAGTACATGTCTCACTGTCTACAGCATTTCTGTGCTGGGGGAGGAAAACTGGGTAATTTTTAGGTCTGGTTCACCAGACCAGTTTGAGATGCCTGCTTTTGGGCTGGATGAATTGTGGCCTGGAAGTGGCAGTGTCTCTCCACGGCTGACAGCAGCCAGGGTGTCTGGTTCAGCGCCTGGCATCTCTGCATTGCAGCTCTCTCTCTGGCTGGGCGAACAGCACCCTCCTTCCACTCCCTGCTGCCATCCAGCTGCAGCACTTTGCTTGTTGCCTGCAACTGCTTAGGTACTGCTCTCAAAAACACCTTTCAGGAGAAATGCTGAATTCGAAGTCAGCCAGGGAACTCAGCTTCAAGGAGAATAATTTTCAACAAGTAACTCTTCGGGAACAGCTGTGGGGCAGCTACAGGGACAGCCAGGGCTTTAAAGCTGGAGTTATTAAAGCATGCACTTTCCCAGCTGCAGTAAGCACCCTGACTGCTGATTTCTGTTGTACTGGCACTGCCTGGGAAGCACAGCATGAATGAGCTCAGGGAGCTGCCCTGGATTAGAGCTATTTCTGCAGTCTGGGTGCCCAAGTGGCCGTGGCAGCCCAGCAGCAGTGAGAGGAGGGAGAGGAAAGAGCAAAGCCAGCCTCTGCATCACCGCCAGGAGGGGGTCCCAGAGGCACTGGGGTGCGAGGGGTGCACCACAGAGATATTTCCAATTAAGGACAAGGGCAGGTACAAAGGGAAGGACAAGAGCCTTTCAGGTAGATCATGACCCAGTTTTGGATAAGAGAGCTCCACAAAGCCCCTGCTGGGACTTCCCCAAGAACTTGAATAAGTGATCTGATCTCCCAGTGCTTCAGATCCTCCCTCCAATTCAACCAGCATTTTTTTGGTCCTTTGGACTGGGGTTGTCTGAAGAATGACTGTTTCCAACACCCAAGAGATCAAGGTGACTCTGCTAGCCACTGCTCACTTCACAGTTCAGAACTTTCGGGGACTGGGAGAAGAAGGAGATGTATTTTTGAGCTACATTTCTGTAGGAATTGAGGCTAAAAAAGCAAAAATCCTTTTAAAACGTCTTTTAAATAAAATCAGAAATGCCAACCCCACCCTTTCACAGACTTCTGATGAGTGGACCAGCAGTCCCTGACATCTGCTACACCCAGAAAAGCAGTTGTACAGAATTTTTTGTATGCATCCAAAATCCACACCCAGCTGCTGCTGAACACTGAAAACACCTAGGGGGAGGTTGGGTTCCTCCCTGTTCATTCCTATAAAACCCTAAATTGCCAGTAAATCAGGTTAGGTGCCTGCCCAGAGCTGCTGCAGGTTGATCACATGAGGAGTTGGCTCCTGCCCAAGCGTAGTGGAGCTGCAGAAGCCTGGTGCTCCTGCATGCATCCTTTGGGACATGGATGTTGTCAGCACATGCCCAAAACACGTCTCGATCAGGTCCCACAGTCTACTTGCCCTGCTCCATTTGTTTTTGTTTCAAAACCAGTCACCTGGCTGATGAGTACAGACTCACTAAGGCTGTGGTGCCCATAGGAGATTTCCACGCCCCAGCTCCAAGAAAGCCATGAAGTTATAGGCATTCTAGGCAGACCACCTCCCTGGTCATTACTGGGGAAGTTTATCTGGTGTTGCAGTCAGGAATAGAGGCTATTTTGGGACCAAGGAGGATGGAGCTGGAGAAAAACCCATACCCTCATGACCTTTTATAGAGTAGAGGGAAGCCTTGAAGCTGAGCTGTGTCCTGCATCAGGACATCAGCTGAAATTCAGAACATGGAAAGGCCAGACTGCTTTGCCTTTGCATACTGTAGCAGCAAGTTGAAAAAATCATGGATGCAACTGCTGCCAACCCTCTTTTACTTCAACACTCCACAAGGGCAGGGAGAAAGGCTGGGGCTCATCCCACCACAGGTGCACCTGGAAGCAGAATCAGACACTAGGGGGAAGCTATGACTTGTAGATGACTTTCTCACCCAGCAGTGAAGAGATCTGGGGCCAGCTGTGCCACAGCTTTGGCAGCTCAGCTGTAGGGGCAGGGGTGGCTGCATGAATGCCACATCTTTGCCCTGGAATGCCTTACACATTATCCCACTTCTCTCTCCAGGCAACTGTCAGAGGAGAATGCAAATCTTCAAGAATACGTTGAGAAAGAAGTGGAGGAGAAGAAGAAGCTCAGCAGGACTAACGAGGAGCTGCTCTGGAAGCTGCAGGAGGGAGATGCCGTGAGCCCCGTCAAGCTCCCGCCCTCACCGTCCACTCCTCTCTATCGCTGCTCGTCAGGGAACTCCTCTCCAGCAAAAGTCAGAACCTTGAGGCGATGAACAGGCAGCTGTGTGCCGAATGTTCCCTGCCTTTTATGCATTTCCAGTCTGCAAAGTGTTACCATCCAAGGAAGTACTACCATCAACAGGTGCCCAGGGTTCATGGCTGCAAGCATGCTCAGCAGCTGCATAGCTTTACACTAGGCAGGGTACTCTTACAGTCCCCACACAGAAATTCTTGGTTCTGACATGTTGATTAGGGTAGCAAAAAAGATAGCCAAAACTAGAACAGCAGAAAGTTAGGATAGGAAAAGGTTTAGCTTGATGTGTGAACATTTTAACTATGGTTAGAGCCAAAAGTTGGGAAATGCTCTATTAATGTTCATCAGAATGAACTTTTGCTGCAGTATTTCAGGTTAGTTGCAAATGGTGTGAATATTTCTGTATATGTGTCTGTGTTTATATACATGTATGTATTGTACCTTTATACCTATATATAGACGCACACACATATATATGTAGTTGCAGATGTTCTGAATTACATTTTTTATATTATTGGATACTACTAAGTGCTGATATATTTTCATTACAGTCAGCAGTTTTCTAACTCGTGCCTAAGACTTGTATCTAAACAAAATGCATTTCTGTTTAGCCTCCCAGGAATATTTATACCCAACCTAGAAGAAAGTTACACAGAAGTAGAAGCGCCTTCCAAGTGACCACCAAGTGGTACTCTATGTAACATGAACACCAGCGAATTTGAAATTCTAAGACAGTACTGCCTTCGAAACCATCACCTTTGCATTGAACACCAGAAAAGATACGCATACCATCCACTACTTTTTAACTCTTAGCATTGATATTCTAAGTGGAGATAGGCTAGAGATGAGAAAACTGAGAGTTTTAGCAAATTTGGTAGAGGTTACTGGTTAACATGGTTCAATTTTAGTGTCTTTATTTCAATCCTAGTCAGATCTTATCTTGTTTAACCTTGTCGTGGTTAGGATGCAATCAAAATCTCTGGCTGTAGATTTCTGTCCATTTTGTTTTATTTCAAGCCCCAGAAGCAAGAAGGAAAAAATAAGTTGCTTATCTTTGCTGGAGGAGAGGTTTCCAATGGTAAGATGAGATACTGGACATCTGCTAGGGCTCTAGCTTCCTTACACTGCAAATGCCAAACAGAGCATAGCCAAGTTCATAGGTGCAGATGAAGTCAGAATTTCATTCCTTCCACATATCTGCATTATTTCACATTGCTACAGCTTACCCAGAGTTACAGAGCACTTTGAAGATTCATGGAAATGAGTGGCTAAACTACCTTTAACTTTCCCATCTAGAAGCAAAAATGTTCACCCAGGCTTGGGGTGACTTCCCACCTAAGGGGACGGTGAGGCCGAGGAGTAGTTGGGGTCAGACTGTCTGCAGGGCCCTCACGGGCATGGCTAACAAGATAAAAATATCCCTGAGAACAATTTACAAAACAAAGAGATCTGTGGGATGCTTTTCTACCCAGCTTAGGGCAAAGAGCCTGCATGCAGGCTGCTCTGTGCACTGGGGCCAAAGTTAGCAGGGCAACAGCACCTGGAGGGAATCCCTGAGGTGCAGGACGGCTGCAGGGAGGGTGGCTTTCTCACCCGGGTGTGGTGCAGCAGGCCCTGCACCCACAGGGGTGGCACTGCACAGCCCTGCCATCCTGCCAGAGTGGGAGCTGTGCTTCAGCTTTCCTGGGAAATACTCAGGATTCACAGACTGCAGCTTAGATACAGCTTCAACCACCATCAAAGCACCTGTGGCCTGTTCCACAGTGTTAAAAAGAAAGATGATTTTTTTTCTCCTTTTTTAGAGAAATTTATTTTTGTAGCAGCTTTTGCATGGTACTGTGATACTGAGTAAATTGAGCATCTTCTTAGAATAGATCATGCCACACCAGCTACTACTGTTGAAATGCATTGCTAGATTTTAGTGTGTCCAGCAAGTGCAACCTGAAAGATAGATACCTAGCACGCACATGCACACACAGCCCTTCTTGCCAAGTACGACTTTAATAATTTTGATATTTGCTAATGGCACAACTATTTGCAACACCTACGGCATTGTCATCTTTCATTCCACCAACAGAATTCTGAGACAGTGAGGTCACAGGCTCAGAGGGTGATTTGGGTTAGAAGGGAACTTTAAGACTATCCAGTCCAGCCCCCACTGCCATGGGCAGGGACACTTCCCACTAGACCAGGTTGCTTAGAGCTTCATCCAGCCTGGCCTAGAACACTTCTAGGAATGGGGTATCTACAATTTCTCTGGGCAACCTATTCCTACCACTCTCATTGTAAAAATCCTTTTTCTTATGTCCAATCTAAACCTATCCTCTTCCAGTTTAAAACTGTTGTCCCTTCCATCACTACAGGCCCTCTCCATTTTTCCTACAGGCCCCCTTAAGGTTCTGGAAGGCTGCTAAAAGATCTCCCCCAAGTCTTCTCTTCTCCAGGCTGAACAACTCTAACTGTCTCAGCCTGTCTCCATAGAAGAGGTGCTCCAGCCTTTTAAGATCTTTGTGGCACTCCTCTTAGACCCACTCCAAGATGCCCATGTCCTTCTTATCCCCAGAGCCAGACGCAGCACTCCAGGCTGGGTCTCACAAGAGCAGAGAAGGGCAGAATCCGCCCTTGCCCTGCTGGCCATGCTGTTTTGGATGCAGCCCAGGATACAAGTGACTTTCTGGGCTTTGAGCACCAACTGTTGGTTCATGTCCAGCCTCTCATCCAGCAGTATTCCCAAGTCCTTCTCAGCAAGGCTGTTTTCAATCTCTTTATCCCCCAGCCTGTATTCATACCAAGGGTTGCCCCAGCCTAGGTGCAGGACCTTGCTCTTGGCCTCGTTGAACCTCATGATGTTCACATGGCCCCACCTCTCAGGCATATCCAGATCCACCTGTATGGCATTCCCACCTTCCAGTGTACCAACTGAACCACTCACCTTGGTGTCAATCCACAGACTTGCTGTGGATGCACCTGATCCCACTGAGTCATTTACGCTATTACACAGTAATATCTTAAATATCAGTCCCAATACGACCCCAGAGGGGCACCACTTCTCACTGATGGCCGTTTGGACATTGAGCTGCTCCGGATGGAACCATCCAGCCAATTCCATTGCCAGCTGCCATCCATCAAAGCTGCATCTCCCCAGTCTAGGATGCTGTGTGGGGCTATGTCAAAGGCCCTGCAGAGTCCAGGTAAATGACATCAGTTGCTCATCCCTCACTCACTGACACAGGCACACCATTGGAGAGAGCCATCAGATTAGTCAGAGCGGATTGTTGGTAGTTTCTAGGATCCTCCTTTTTGCCCTTTGTAAAAATGGTTGAGATGAAACAACTGGAGTTGTTATTGATGCTACTCAAAACTTTAAATGCACTAAAGCATATTATTGGCCCAGGCTGGCTGAACCTGTTGTAATTTATTAATCTTTCTCCTTTATACCTGGTGCTTTCCTTATCACTTTGTTGGTTTAAAATCATATTCAAGAGATGCTTCCAGCAGTGAATTGGGAGTGGGGCTTTTATGGTGGGAAAACTGGGACTGAACCCAGCTCCATCATCATTTGTTATCATTGCCAATCCCTTTCCCATCTAATTTTTGCCTCCCAATCCTGCCTCTCACTGGATTCTTCCTTGGCACACCGTCTAGGGCATGCCCAATCACTAGCAAAACTGTAGGAAGTTCTGCCTAACCAGAGGGACCCAGCAAACTGTCCCTGTGGGGGGTGTGAAGAGTGGCTCCTTCTGGTGCAAGCCCAGAAAAAGACTTCTTTCCCCAAAAGAGGTTATACCTTTTTTATACTTTTCCTCTGTCCTTTCTTTGCCTCTGCATGCTGAACTAGGTGCAAAAGAAAAGCTCAGGTCACTCGGAGAGTGGGAGGAAGGGAGCAGCCCCTGAATGGGGCAGCCATTCCCAGGGAATGAAGATCCCCCGATGCAGGGCCAAGCTGGGGAGGGGAAGCGTTTGCTTCTGCAGAGCTGGAAACTTCCCAAATGCCATAGCCACTGTGGGGACTTTGCCATTTGGAAATAGGATGGCCTTTGGAAGCAGAGGGAATGTAGCCAACACTAAGCAGAAAGAGTTTCATCATCTCTGTCTTTAAGGAAGCTGTTTAATTTCATTAATCTTTACTCAATGCAGAAGGGTGTAGCAGCAATAAAACCAGCCCACAGCTGCTCTCAGGGGATTCCAGAGATAGGCACTGGGAGCAGGTATCAGCCATGGGATGGCAGGAGAGCCAGCAGCAAGTGGGGCATGGAAAACTCCTTTTTATTGTGGAAAGGTACCATTTGTCCCTCCTGGGACTGCACCTCCAGTGACTGCTGGCACAGACAGGTTGACTCAATGCACAGCAGCAAAGGCTTGTGGTGGTGGCAGGTGGGGGAAGGAAAGGAAAAACTATCAAGTGCAAAATCAGGTATTTTGTCTCTGCACTGATGGTGGTTGTGTCCCATGGACACTCTGAGGAGCCTCTGTACAGTTTCCCATGCAGCAGGAGTTCTGTGGTCCCGTTTATTATGTGGCTAATGATTACAGGAAGAGTTTGTATTATTTCAATTATGATGTACAGATAAGTGTAATATATTCCTGATAATAAATCCGTGCGCCAGTGCACCCGTGGGCTGACGGATACAAACCAGCATGTCCTGCCGTGTTTTCTGTGCACACGGGAACTGGGATGAACGGGAAACAAAACAAAAGCCCATCAGAGACTTACCCCATTAAGGTAAAGACAGAAGCTAGTCATTAGCTTCCTGGCAGCAGGGCTGGTCAGCTGCCTTACCTGACAGTGCCTCACATGCTAGGAGTTTCCATGGACTCATTTTCTAGGATGCTTCCAGTATGACTGGGACTGCCAGAACAGTGATTGTGGTCTGCAGTGTTTCCACTGAAGTGTCATGCTGCAGAACATGGTAACAGGAACATTTCTGCCAGTGGTTCAGGCTCATCAGCAAACACCTGTACTCCCCAATGTTCCAGTTCACTCAGTTTCAACACCCCACATCCTGCCTCCTTCACCCTGCCCTCCTGCTGAGAGCCACAGAGCTGCTCAGGCTTTGCCACAAGGATTAAAAAGGGACCAGGTCATACCCCACCTCGGGAATGTGCCTGACAACATGCGCCTGAAATATTTTTCACCAGGCCCTTGGCTTGCTCAGCGCAGATGAAGCTTTGATAAGGACACAAGCTTCATGTTTTCACTGAACAGAAGCTGGTAGCCCGGTAGGAAAAACATCCTTATATTTTTAGTACAATACAAAACTTTGATCCTGTCTGAGTTATCATCTTGTTGCCCTCCCAGCACATTTTCAGTGCCTTTTGGAAGGCTGTGGAGTGTGCTGAGCTTGCCTGTGTTTAAACAAAACAGACTTCAACTTAGTGGCTTTTAATTTCTATATTAATCTCTCCCTGCTTGAGTATGACTTTGTATATGCACAAGGAGCAAAGCCTTGGCAGATGGTCAAGACCCAGTGACTGGAGCAGACCCCCAACTTCATTCTGTAGGGGAAGCTGCACTCATAACACACCCTGAAGTCCACCTAGGAAGCAATGAACACATTGCCTTCACTTCCTCAAATTGCAATCCCAATGTACTAGAATTAAAAGATGAAAACACTTCAATGGGCAGAAAGGCTATAAAGTCTCTTGGAAACATGAGAAATGGTCCACAATCCAGCCATGAAATCCAGGAGATGGTCTGATTCCCTTTTCTGCTGCATCAGATGCCTGGTGAGATCCTGGGCAAGTCATGCAGGGGTCTGTTCAGTTCTCCAACTCAATGACAGGTGCAAGAGCCTGTCGCTTCATCAGCAAGAGCCATGCTGACAAACCAAGTAAGATTGTCCAACGTTCAGAGGCAGTAGTATGAAGGACACCTAGGAAAGCATCCACTCACACTGGGAAAGGGGATTTCTGCAGTATCTATCTGGGATACTCCAACCCAGAAGTGTTTGAGAGCAGGATGGACAGGGCTTTTAGCAACCTGATTTAATTAAACATGTCCCTGCTGATGTCAGGTAAGCTGAACCAGATGATCTTCAAAGGTCCCTTTCCAACCCAACTGTTCCACAATTCTATGATTTGTTTTTCAGTACAAGCTGAAGCGTTAATTTAGATCAGTGGCATTACTTGGGCATGGCTCACCTTAATAAGCCTTTTTAGAGTAGTGGATTAATTTGGCTAGGGAAAGCTATTAGAGAGAATTAAAACAAAAAAAATTCATCTTACAGCCAAAACCAAGGCATTGCCAAATACAGACCCTGGTCTCAACTCCAAATTTCCCACCTTTCACTCCAGGCAGGCTCTGGAGACAATCTCAGCCCCAAAGGGAAAGCTCCCCTCAGCAAGTCAGATCCTAGAGCTTAATGGTGTTTTCTGGGTTGCACATTCTGACAGGACTGAAAAATCCCTGCACACCCCTCCAGCCTCCCCTGGGCAGGTGGCTGACACCAGGCATTGTTCACATCACTTTGTGCCTCTGAGGATTCTCCTGTGCTTCCCCTCCCAGAGCAGGAATGTGCTCCAGCCACCAATGCCAAACCAAAGTTGCTAATGCCAGGCAGCCAGCACAGAAGACTGATGTGGGGGGAGGAACATAGGGCTGCACTTGCTGTCAGAGCTAGCTCAGTTCTGCTGGCCACCCCCACCACTACAGCCACACCACTGGTGGTTTCTGAGAGGAAAAAGAGGCAGGACTGCTCTTTGGAGACACCCCTTGTTTTCAAGCCTTTGCAGTACTTGCACCATGTGGTTTCCTGACTAAAGCTGGCAATCCCTCTGTGGAGTGTACAGCTGGGAGAAACACCTGCTGGTGTGAGCTGTGTGCCGCCGAGTGATTGCTCACCTGACAATCAGCAACCACAAACCTTCCCAACATTTCACAGCAGTGACATGCTTTAAAGCATGTGAGCATGTAGCTAAAAAACCCAGTTAAATAAAAACAAAAAAGGTAAGACCTGATATTTTAAAGAATGCAAATCTTGCAGGTGCTTTGTTAACCTGGGGAAATCTAGTGACTGGGGAGAATCTTTTTTTCTGTATGTGTGCATACACAGAGGGTACAGCTCACATAGGGTGAAGTGAAGGATGGACCCTGGTCTATGCCTGGTAGTAGCACTGCAAAACCTGCTCCATGTAAAACTGAGTATAATATCTGTTGGGAGGAATTCCTGGGGCTACTGAAAGAAGGACATTTGTGAGGCCTGGTTTCTTAGCAGCAGTTGCACACAGAAGCAGTTCTCTTTCTACACACTGGGGAAAAAAAACAAAACTGGAGAGAGAGAGAGAGGGAAGTGCCCAGATGAGCCGCCAGTGCTGCTGGGAATATGCCAGAGTTGTGTCTTTCCATCTTGTGGTCCCTTTTAACTGTGCTGCTAAACAAACTGCAAGCTGCAGTAATCAAGTGGGGGAGGCCTGCATTCTGCTTCCTTACTTCTGCATAACTGCTTACAGGTGTAATCTGGTTCAGGATCCCCACCACAAAGTTTCTTTCACTGCAGCCATTCTTTCAGTCGCCCATAAACCGAACAGTCATTTACAGCTGTCTGAGCCAGTGTCTGTGTTTCTCTCCGCTTCTGCTGAGGCTGCGTAGCTGGCTTCCACACTGTGCCATATTCCATAGGTAAAGTAGATGATAAAGCCTGTGGAAGCCAAGGGAGAGGGCACTGTTAGCTCTGAAAAGAAACAGAAACCTCTACTCACAGCCACTGACACAAGTTACACCAGTCTAAGTCCAGCCATCCTCATGGTTAGCTTCTAGCAGACAGCCACTATCTTCTTTAGGGAAAAAAGCCATTAACACAGGCAGGCACCAGTCTTGAAAAGTCAATCTATCCCAGCCCCAAACAGGATCCTGATTTGAGCACCTCAGACAATTCAGCCCTATCTAAGTGGCTGCTGGGAGCATTTTGGGATGCAGCTCAGCTTGTTCAGCTCCAGAAGCACAAGCTCCACCACCTGGACAGCAGTGCAAGGCTGGCCAACAAGGAATGCTCTGTGGTTTCTTGTTGGCAACAAGACCCATAAGATGGTTCATGGGTTGTTGTTTTGTCCACACAAAGGCTTCAAGACCCTTGAATTCGAAACAAAGCTTGTTACATGCTGACTAAAGGGCTTCAGTCAAGTCACCAGGGTTGCCCAAGGACGGCCAGAGTGCAGAATCCCTCCCTGGAATGCTATAATAAATATATGGTGAACAGAATCTAGTAACTCTGAACATAGCATTTTTCACTTAAACTCACCTAGGAGCATCCAGATTGCAAACCGAATCCACGTGCCTGCGTCTAGCTGCATCATGAGGTAAACATTGACAAAAATACTCCCAGCAGGAAGGAAGGGCAAAAAAGGTACCTGAGGAAGAACAAGGGATATGTTACATCTACAAGCATGGTTAACGAGCAGCAACGAACATCACATTCCTCGTAAATGGGAAGTGATGGCTGTGACCAACTCTTCAGCTGCCAGATGTGAGAAAAGGCAAGGTTAAACCCAAAGGGACATCAGTCCAACACAGGAGGGGCATGTGAACGATGCTATTCATCTGTTTTAAAAGCCTGTTTTGTGGTCCAGAAGGAGGTAAGAGGCAAATTTTAGTGGCAATACTAAATACTTGTTGGGCAAAGGAGAGAAGAGTAAAAACCAAGGACTGTGTCATGGCAAGCACCTACTGAAGACCAAGAGATGAAGGTAAGGGGAATGTCAGAGGAGGGACCTGAGGAACTTCATCCATCAGGTACCAAGGCAATGAAGCAATAGAGAGCAAATTATCCCAAAGCAGGGAAAACCAGCAAATACTGCAAGAGATGACTATACCAGTACCAAGAATGTCTTAGTGGTCTGACAATCAAAGAAGAACGAGACAGCAAAGCCAAAATGCAAAAAAAAGAATACAGAAAACAGCACTGCAAATATAAAATCAAACAAGGCAAATTATAATACTAGAAAAGTTTCTGAATATGGTGGAATTAAGTGGAAAGTGAGCTTCACTCCTAAGGGAAAAAGGAGATCTACAAAAACAAACGGGCAGAGATGTGGCCTTTCTTAATTTAAGCTTTGCCAAAAAAATTTATGCAAAGTAGCTGCTCACATCATTAGAGAGAGGGGGTAGGTACACAAATTAGAAAAGAGAAAAAGAATATTTTTCTAAAGCCATTTTTCTAAGGCTTTGTCAAGTAAGTAGAGACATAAAATTTCCCTAGGTGAGTGAGCTATGTACCCAGAGATTGCAGAAGTGATCTCTGAACTATTAAATCAGCAACTCTGAGAGCTCTTGGTATACTGGTAAAGTCTCTTAAGACTGGGGAAGAGAGAAAAATTACCTGTTAAAAAATACAGAAAAACAACTGGGAAACAAACAGGTCAGCCTTGGATTTCTAGAGTGATTTTGGAGAAAAATCACCATCAGGTTGTAAATGCCCAGAGAACAGCAAGGAGATAAGAAACCAGATTGTCAAGCATGGCAACAGGCTACGCAGGGAAGCGGTGCCATCATCACACCTGGAGGTGCTAAAAGACATGTAGATGTGGCACCTGGGGGCATGGTTTAGAGGTGGATTTGGCAGTGCTGGGCTAATGGTTGGACTTGATGATATTAAAGGTCTTTTCCAACCAAAATGATTCTATGATTACAGATTTAGCTGTGACAGGTATAATTTTCTTTTTTCTTGGACAGAGTAGTGGCTGAGGGGAAAAAACAGAGGTGAAACATCCTGAGTGAAAGGTGAACAGAGCTCCTCAGAAGCATGTTCAGAAAATACCATCTAGTGAGAGTGCATAACTTTTTTGCTCCTGGATATTTCTGTTTCCACCTTTGGGACCATCACCCCAAAATGAGCTGCAAACACAACCTTGGAAAACTCTAGCCGTATTAAGTTACTGAAATCTGTGAATTTACTGAAAATTTTTAATTGAAGAGCAATCAAAATGAACACAGTTTAGAGCATGGAATTATAACCCAAAATTAATTTAATAAATTGCAGAGCTACATGAAATCAATACAATAAAGCATGACTTAGGATTACTTTGGGAGAAAAAATCCATCCCAGTGTTTGTTTAATATAGAAAGGATGGTGTGCTTGGAGAGGGCAGGAAAACAACAGAGTTCCTCATACTTAAGGCTGTTTAAGAGAGAATGGTCATCTCTTAGCCTCCATGAGGACCAGGGAGGACATGAAAGTGCACTTAGAGCCTTAGATCTTTGCCAACAAGTTTACTTCTTATATTCTTTCTCCTTTTGTATCCATGATCCGATGTGGCCCTTCACAACCATCCCCTTTCCTCCAATGTCTGTTCCCTATCCTATAACCATCTGCTCTCAAATGCAGGGTCCTGCCCTTCCCTTCCAGCCACACCTCTGCAGCAGCTTCTGCCTTTCCAGCTTCTCCTGGATAGCAAAGCTGACATCATGCCTGTATTCTATGCACATCCATTTGGCCAGTGTCCCCCTTCTGATACAGGCCAACACATGCACTTCCTCCTCCAACCACCTCCCAGATACCTCTATCCTAGCTACATGTCCCAGGACATTCACCTTAAAGGAGAGTTTGGTTTTGCTTTCAGGCTGTTTCCGTATAATGAAGATGATAGTGACAACAAGGATGGCGGCAATAATCTGTACAGTATTTATCAGAATGTTTGGCTCAAGGGAAGTCAGGATACAGATACCCACAATAAGGAAACCTGTGAACAGACACCAAAGGTTACTGATTTTTTTTTTTTTTACATACAGGGAAAACCCAAGAACAATCATAAGCAGGCAAAGCAGAATCTGAAAGCTCACAAACAAAACAGCGACTCACAAAAACCTAACCATAACAGATATGCCTTTCCCACTATACACCCCCACACACTCCATCTGTGGATTTCTTTTTAAGTCAGAAATTTAATCTTCAGTTATTTTGGCCATTACAAAAGCTCATCAAAATCACATCAAGGAGGTGAGTTTTCCCACCATGGTGAGTACAAAGCCCTACCAGCTGACTCAATGCCCCAGAGACACACTGCCCAGCACTCACCTAAGATGAAGGTTGAGACATTCACCACCAAACCTGAGAATTTGGAAGGATCTGACTCTGTGGAACATAGTACGGCTTTGAGGGAAAACTTCTCTTCTTCCTCTGGCAGAAACCCAGCCTGTGACTCACTGGTGCTCACAGACTCGTTGTTATCTGTCTCCTCTGTCGACCTTGCCATCTGGTATGCCAAATTAGGCTGCTCTGGCTGGTACCTAGGAAAAGAAAATGACACAAAGAGCCTGTTAGTTTGGCTTTTAAATGAGTGGTACCCTCACACAGATAGTCATGGCTACGTGCCAGACCTTTACAGCACCAGAATAGGCCCACATCACTTCTATATCCTTCTGCTTCAAGGAGAAATTTGAGGAATGATGTCATCATGATGTAAGCAAGTAGGGCCAGCTCTTATCCCCTACAGCGTGGTTGTAACGTTAAGTGTTACAAAGTGGACAATGCTCCCTTTCATGAGCCCTGTCATCCATGTCACCAAGACATGACTGGGTGACAGCAGAAGGAAACTGCAGAGGGACATACTGATGCTCATAACCAGGGCCATTGTGTCATCTGTGGCAGTTCAGCTCTTGCATTTTGGCACAGAGGTGGCTGAGCTAACAGCTCTGCAGCTGTCACACCCTGCAGCAGCATTCCTGCTGCCCCGTACCCCTCCACCCCAGGCTCTCCTGCCAGCTTGTCTGCTGCCACATAAAGAAGGAAGAGCTGAAGCAAGAATGGTTGTTGCTGTGGACAGCACATTCAACAGGGCTGTGACACACAACCATGTGGAACCATAAATAAAAAACTTTACCAGCCTCAGCTCTCTGTAACAGAAGGTTTTGTTAAGTTACTCAGCCACAAGTCTGACTAAAGGACTGGGCCACTTTGAAAGTCACCTTAAAACTGTTCCTGTGGGGATGTGTTCACAATGAGGCATTTGTTAAACACTGAGACTTGTGAAATGCAGTGAAATCCTTGGGTGCAGCCACAGCAAGCAACTAGTGGCAGGATCTTACAGCTTTGGAAACAATTCAGCTGCTACATCATTAAGCAGTCAAGACGCAGACAAATCCGCTGCCAAGGTTACTACAAAACAGGCTGTCGCCTCTGCCAACCCATGATGGGGGAAATGTCATGCAATAGGTACAGCAGCTTGCAAAAACAAATTAAAAAGCCATTTCTAGCTCTGAGGAAAAGAGTAGGCTGGGAAATCAGGAAACTTAAGACGGATAAGGTAAATCGGCAAGAATTTTCAAGGGGTAGGGAGCAGAGCACAACCACAAAGCAATGGTACCACAGAACAGCACTGGCCCTTCACCTGCTGCAAGACTGTTCTCAGTTCAGTGCAATTGCTGTGAGAGCCTCCATCTGATTCTGAGTAAGTCATTCTATACAAAGGTACTTCTCAGTAACATGATCTTCAGATATTTTTTTCATTAATCGAGTGCTCCTGTCTGTAAGGTGCCAAGCACTGAAGATTTTTAGCTTAGGTTTGGGAAGCTGTGGGAGCTCAGCACTTCTCAAAGACACACTGATCCTGCAAACACATGCTCAGTTCTTTTCCTGCTACTAAACTTCATCTCATATCTTCTTTTAAAAGGAGGACAACCTGAAATGGTATCCCCATGGGGGACAAGAGTGGGGACAAGGCAGGCATCCAGGATCACACATCTTTCCTCCCTATCCCTTGGCATATCTCCTGGGGCATTTAGAGTTGACCACAGCAGGACTGGCACGGAACAGGGGTTAACCAAGTTCAGAGGACCTCCCTGTAGATCCAACTAACACAATCCCCCCATGAAATTAAAGAAACAAGCTCTTCACATGCCTGTAGGTGGAGATGTGCCCATAGAAACTATGAGGGCATCTGACTGTTGTGTGGAATTCTCTCTGTGTGCCAGAAGAGACAAGCTTCTACATTCTTACCTCAGTACCAACACACAAGCTGCTACCAAGGAGTAAGCCAGGAGGGTCCCGATGGACATGAGGTCCACAAGATCTTTCAAGTCAAAGAGAAAGGCCATAACAGCTGTAGGAGGAGAGGAAGGTAAGAGAGAAGAAAAATCAGCAACATGGCAGAACATGCACATCTCAGCAGCGTTAATAACAATGCAGCACACATGTGACTTGCCCAGGGCTTGGTAGGGGAGTTTAAGATGTCCCAAGAGAAGGAGAGGCAGGCCTGGGTGCATGAATACCCTAAGACTCCACAGGCTGTCCCAGCCTCAGTAGCTGAAACAACAGGAAATGCTTACTACAGTAAATTCCAGCCTGTTTGTCTCACACAGCTATGTTCACCCAACTATCAACAAAAAGCAAGGGTTTAAGCCACAACCTCATTGTTAGTCCCCAAGTGCAGCTGCAGCACTCCTAAAGTCACAATTATCTCCTGGAAGTAGCCAGAGGGAACAGAGGATGGGCAGCACCTTGCCCTGCTGTCTCAGCTTCGCTGGGTTGCAATCAGGCTTCTGCATGCAGTGGGACCAAGCATCAAAGAGGGCATCATGAAGTAGCAGGTGTCATCACATTTCCAGCGTTTCCAAAAAAAGGCTGCCATTCCTTAGGGATTACCCTGCTTACACAGTCTCACTAGGTAATCCTGGTTGTGCAGGAATTTGTATAGGACTTTCAGAAGGCAAATAAGTGGATAAAAGACACACAGTCAGATATCAGGTGGCACCAACAGCCATATGAGAGTGTAGGGACCTCAGAGCCAAGCCTGGCCCCACTCAGCCTTAACGTACAATGTGGAGCCCAATAGCCAGCCCAACCTTGAAATTCAGCTGGCAAATGCTGTCCCTGCAGCTTTGTGTGGGTTTTGGTCATAGGCACTATGGACCATTTGGATGAGACCACAAAGTTGTTTGTTTTTTTTTACTTTATATTGCTCTTTTTCCTACCTCACTATGGTCTGGACCCCAGAACATCTGAAGAGGAAGGTGTGGGAGAAGGAAGCTGTGAGGAGGCTCTGAGAGTCACAGCAGCAGGAGCTGAGCCCTTTCACAGGAGATAAGAGCCCAGGGCAGCAGTCTGGCACAACTCCCCACCAAAGGTGGCACATTTTTGTACCCACAGCTTATCCTACACTTGCAGCAGAAGGTAAAGAGAAAGCAGCAAGACTGCTCTCCCCTTTGCCAGGCATCGTGAGGAAGGGGGTGGCTTCAAGAACAGGGTAAGCTGCTCATCCTTGCTGTCCAGGAGGTTTAATTCCTGTATTTCTGGCAGGCCAGGAGAAGGAAGGGGAGAACAGGATGGCTGCCAGCTGTGACTAACTGATTAACAAATGCCAGTGCCACAGGGGCCATCTGCTTGTCTCCGGCTGCTCTGGCATCTTGTGCAGAGCTGCTACCCACAGGCAGAGCAGTGTCTCCAGCCGAGCCAGGCCAGCAGCCACAAGGATGCTGGGGCACCACTGGCTCCTACCTTGCAGGGTGTTAATTACTTTCAAGGCTGGCTGAGCAGATAAAGGTAGCTCCTGGCAGGAGACAGGACTGTAAGCAATGAGCTCTGAGAAAGAGGGACAGGCACACAGCGAGCTTCTCATGCTCACGCAGACTCCCCGGGGCATGCCCTGGAAATCCAGGACACCCTCTGGGATGCTGTATTTTGCAATATATCCAATTAGTAAGTGGGCTAGAGTCAGGCGGACTTATCTGCCCTGAAGATGAGCTTATGTCTCCTTTCCACACATTTGTGCAAGTCTTTGGATCCTACCTGCAGTAGCTCCTGAGGTCACTGTTGCAATTAAGGGAGTTTTTCTCTTCTCGTTGACTTTAGCCAAAAATTTGAAGAGAAGTCCATCTTCTGCCATAGCATAAATTATTCGAGGCATCGGAAACATGGAGCCAAGCAGACTAAGGACACAGGAAGGAGAAATAATCTACTTATGTCACCTCCTGCTGAGCACAGGCACACAAGTGAAAGCAAGTTTATGGCAGTGTAACTATAGAACAGGTGGCATTCATTCCCTTCAGCTTCTCCTTCAAGGGCTCCCTCTGAATACCCATAGCTGGTAACTGAGTGCAGCTCTATGATTTTGGATAGCTAAACTTAGCCATGGGGCACAAAACCAGCCTGACTTTCAGGCAGTAAAAGAGCTGTAATTTCTATGAGCCTCTGTGAGATGCTCACCTAATTGAGTATGCCTAAGTTGATCTGAAATAGGCCTTCCAAGTTCAGGAGGTGAAAAGTTCTGCCTCCAGCCTGCCCTGCCTCCCATCCAGATGGCTGTCCTGCAGGTAACCTGCAGACAGATGGCCCTGGATATGGTAAGCCCCATGTGCTCCTGAAGATGCACCCTGCACCACCTGACACAAGTCTGCTCTCCACCCAGCAGGCCAGGATGTCTTGCACCCAAACTGTGCCTGCATTGCATAGCTGCCTCCATGATTTAGTCATTCAATCCAGATTTATATTCCTGAGATGCACCCGCTGGTTCTTCTGCTAAGATGGGACTTTCTGAAGTGATACTGGTCACCTGCTTCTCTGGTACCTACCACAGGGTGGGATCCTGGTCCTTTTGAGATCAGTAGCCCTGAATTTCATCTCTGGTTTCCACTCCATTTCTTAAAGGAGATGGAGGTACATGAGAGATGTACCTTGAAAGACACAAAAATGAAGAGCAGTGTCTTACCTTGTAGAAAGTGCACACAAGGAACCGACAGCCACTGCATAATTGGCTCCATCCCAATCCACGTATTTAAAGGCATTGGGTAAAGGGCTATTGGTATCCAGCAGGTAGTAAGGCATCATGAGCGTCAGGGCAGCCGACACGCCAAAATAAGCCACAAAGCAGATGAGAAGAGATGCCACAATGCCAATAGGAATGGCCTTCTGAGGGTTTTTTACCTCCTCACCTAGAAGAAAGAAATTTAACTATCAGCTAAATGACAAGCAAGACCTTTATCTCAGCCTAGGGCAGGTGTGCTGGCTGGGGCTTTCAAAGGTTTCATGGGTACAGAGGTGCTCTTTGGCCATAATGCTGTTGATGGCCTGCTCCATCCACTTGGGTTATCACAGCCTGTTTGCTCCCATTTCTGCTGCTCCTGTCACTTCTGACACACATTCGTGGAAGCCTTGTAAACTCAGGCACAGAAACAATCTGGATTAAAATAGTGCTTTGCCCAAAACAGATCATCCTTCTATCCTACTCCTTCTATCCTACTGATGCTGCAGACCCAAGAAGAGTTCAATGATCACAGATCATGGAACAAGAAATTATTCTGCAGTTGTAGGGAAAATCCATGGATGTCCATTTTAGTAACATCTCTACCAGAACTAATACACCAGGATCATGGCACCATAGGTGCCATTTCTGGAGAAGGGCATAGTGCCTGAAAGTCATATGGTTCTTTGAACACGCCTCATAACAGAAGGACCTCCTCTAGTTTTTATGGAAAATTTTCAACAACCAAGTAGGAAAAAATGTGTGTAAAAAACCAAAATTCCCCAAAACTCAGGCAGCGATCAATTACAGAACAGATTTGCACTTTCCTAGTCCTACAAAACTGCTCTGAAAGCAAGAACTCCTGAGGTACAGCATTTCAGCAGGATGAACTGATAAACACAGATCCATACCCCTACAAGTCAAAAGCAGATGAATGTTTCTCCCACAAGGAGAAGCTCCAGGGCTGGCTGGAGTAATGGAGCCAACACTTCTCCAGCTCCTTGCTTGGAAGAAGACACGGTAATGCTTTATCTCTCTGTGATGATTCCGTTCTCCCTCTGCTCCAACCGTTCTTGCCAAATGTGAAATTAAGGACAATCCTTTCTTCAGGAAATTAAGATTCATCTTAGCCCCAAGAAATACGACCATGCTAATGGTTTCTCTCTCAAAATGAGACCTTTTAACCTTTACATGTAAAATCTCCTGATTCTAAAGCACAGCTCTAGGGTACAGTTTACTCCCCAGAGGCTTCCTCTTTCTCTGGATCTTTAAAATACCCCAAGCCATCAGAGCTTTTGCAGCTGAAGGCACTGAAGAACACTGTTCCAGAATAACCTGTTAATTAAAGTATCATCTAGAGTTAGAGGCTCAAACTCATACCAGACATGTGAACCTAGGCCTTCCCTGTTTGCCTAGCTGGAAAACCTGAACATCTGACCTGGTTGTGTCGTCACTGACCATCCACTAGCTTGGGCCCTGCAGGCAAAGAAGGGAGGAAGCTCATGGTTATACAGTTTATCCGTGTGCTACAGCAGCTAGAAGTCAGCACTAAGGCACTCAGGGACTTGAACAAATTTAGCACTTTCACTATTAGGAGCAGCTGAGCCAAAAGCCTATTTTGAGCTGAGGTTCAGAGGGACAACAAACGTGGTGTCCTGAATTCCCTATTATCTGTGCTCTCCAATGTTACTGAAAGTTGATCTACCGGCAGCCAGGTTCATAACCACAACGAAGACATCTTCCCTCTTACCTGTAGTAGCAATACAGTCAAATCCCACAAAAGCATAAAAACACGTGGCTGCCCCTGAGAGGACTCCTTTCCATCCATAGGGCATAAACCCTCCAACACCGTAGAGCTTTTCTTCCTGTGTTTGACTGAAAGGCATGGCACTGGGTTAGAAGTGATCCTGCCTAGCTGGGAGTCACAAAGCTATTCACACAGCTCATAACAAAATCCAAAGCCAAAGTTTGAAGAAGCAGGCTCTCTCTTTCATATGCTAGCATACCAGGCAAAATGCTAAGCTCTACCCACTGCTGAGCTTTGGACTGGCCTGCAACAGCCTGGGGAAGGCATGGAATAAAAATGGCTCATGATTTGCTCCCACCACCTGTTCTGTGGGGTGGATAAAAATGTCTTGGCTAAGACAAGGAGAAAATAGCATGAACATTAAAAATAATTTCCTAACATTACTGCATGTGTGCACATACATATAATTCATTTGAACAGAAGCTTTTGGAAAAACTGAAGACTGAGAAACACATGAACCATCCACTTTTTACTTCAGATGGACTCAGATAAAAGGTAGGTGAGTAGACATAAGAAAGGAATGCAGGGTGCCATGATTGTTTAAAATCCACCCCATCTTCTCAAATTCCATGTGCCAAGCTCATACCCAAACCACTCCTGTAACCATGAGAGAGAAATGGAGCCTGGATCCCTGACACACCAACTGCTTTGCTGGGCCTTAAACAAAGTTCATTTAAGTCAACAGACAAACACAGGCTGATCCCAGTGCACTCTGGATTGCAACCCCATATCCATGTGCCTTGTGTTGAGTGATATAACAAGCACACCCTTCAGTTCAAGTGCCTTAGGTAACATTTTCAGTGAAAAGTCATTGTAAAGATGAATTAAGGCAGTTAAACTAAACTAAATCCCAAATCTGAAAGTCTTCTCACATATAAGTATCTGAACTCTCTCATAGAAGCTTTGCTGAGACTTAGGTGAAATCTGGCCAACAGAAATAGTACAACTCAAATGTGGATCACTCTGGAAATAATGATAAAATAAACCCCAGACAGGTTTTACAAAAATAGTAAGTCATACAGGTCAAAGAGCTGCACTCATACTTTGAAACTTTTGCAGTAATTGCTCCTTGCATGGGAATAGCAGGAGGGAAGGAGAAGGGACTAGTCCTATAGAAGCAATTTTTTTGCAGCAGGTTGAATTTTGAAAAGAGGCTCAAGAAGTGGCTTTTACACAAGATAAATCTGACCCACACAACACTTATGAATCTCACCAAATTTTGTCCAACTGTGCTTCCTTGCAGACCATCATAAAAGTGGAGACATATAAAGGCCCTTATCCTGTGTGATACAGTCTCAAACAAAAATTAATCATTTTGTCTTACTGGTAGGCCTCATAAGCTCATTAATTTTGACCTTGTGTAGGATGACAGAATTTTGGCCAAGCAAAATGTCATTAAAAACAGATTTATGATATGCTTGCAGCAATGCATTAAAATAACCTGCAACTTGCCTTCATTTTATTGAGGTATTTGCAACAAGGTCCCTATAAGGTATAACAATGCCAAAGGATGTTGCCCAACTATTCAAACAAAGTACACAGCTATACTTGGACATGGCTTCACACAGGCACCAGAGCCAGCCTGGTGTACACTTGAGTAGAACACTGTCTAAAGAGCTCTTTTCTCTCAACTTTGGGTGCTATATTGGTTATAAGGCTAGAAACGGTCAGTCCTGCAGCAGGGCCCACGACGACACAGCTGCTCCAAGCACTTTCAGCCCATCAGAACAGCTTGCTTTCAGCAAACACCCACCAAAGAGAGCTTTGCCTCCAAGGTCTGTGGCAAAGGAGGCAGCCATCCCATTCACTGCTTTTCTATCTCAGTCCACAACCCCCCATTTAAACTTGCTTTTGAAAATGCACCAGCTTCTGAGATGAGAAGAAAACATCCAACCTACTTGTCTTTGAAAAGGCTATGGCTTCTGTTGTAAATGTCCTGTTCAGTCAGGTTCCAGTTTTTAACAGATCCTTTCACAAAGCCGGAGATCACGACAAATCCAAGGACAAGGACGTTGATGCAGGTGAACACTTTGTTCACCAGGGCAGATTCTTTCACACCAAAAGCTAAAAGCCCTGGGGAAAAAATGTCATAGGTCAGGTATTTCATCAGCAGCAGCAGGTGCTGGGGACTCACAGACACAGCTCAACTGCGTTCACGCTGTGCTCTGCCCAAATTATCCCATCTCGTTTCTTCACAAAGCCAAGCAGCTCAGGATTCACTCAGCCAGAAGTAGGATGGGGACTTCAGCTCAGACATTATTTCTGCAGAATGTGACACACACCCTCCCATCCAGCACGCCCATGTGGACCACGTCCCTGGTAAAGTGCTTTGCTAATACACTTAAACTACTCCCACAGCCTCAAACTTCACACAGAGACCCAGAGAAAGCACAACAGGTGGTTTTCAATGAAGGAATATTGTCTTGAAGGTCTTGGCCAAATGCAGAAGTTATGAAGAACACTCAACCTTCCTCAGAAACTGGGGGAAATATGAGCAGGGACCAAATCCAGGAGGATTCTACTTCCAATAGCTACTTCTAAAGTTGAAGACAAAGAAGGTGGCATCTTAGGAATCCTGCTCCTACCTAATCAGCAAGAGCTTTGCCAGGGAGTTCAGTGAGAGGAGGATTTCAGCTTGGTCTTAAGATGATCTGTCTGAAGAAGAGCATGGCTACAGGCCTTGGGAAGCAAAATCTCACTGAAGCATAGCTTGGCTTCTCAGGTCCACAAGCTCTCTTAACTTCCTCTTCAGGTGTCTGATTTTTAAGAACTGAAACTTTTAACTCAAATCTAAGGCTGAAGGAGAAGTAAAAAAACTTCACACAGGCCCAAGGGAGAAGAGAAGCACAACACAGTGTTCTTCTACTGCTACTCCAAGGGACTTCAATGAGAGAAGAGCATCCTGTGTACTCACCTTTCCTTCTTTTAAAGTAAGAAATAAGCTGAGACAGCCATATCAGAAGAGTCTTTGATAGAACTACATACCAGCCCACAAAAACTTGTAAGGTACTTTTTAGAAATCTGAAGCTCAAGACAGTGCAAGCAGATACAAACTTGTGATGATGGTATTTGAGACTAAAGCTGCTCTTTCAGCAGCTTTTTTTTAGAAAATAATGGTTTGCCTTTTTTATTAAAATCCATGGAATTTGCTTCATGCAGGAGCATAAAGCCACCTTAGTACAAAGTAACCTTTGTAATTTTACACCTCAGCAGTGCTAAAGCAAGGAGTTCTAAATTTTATAAATTGTATCTGAAATGAAAGATCAGATTCTGATTTGAAATGAGAGCAATTCATATTACATACAAATGAACAAAGGGGAAAATCTCTCTCATTCAGATGTAATCCTGAAAACAGAGGGCTGCTATTGGCTTCAGCAGCCATGAACGCAGTCCTAGATCCAAATGCAAATCCAAATGCCAAAGCATCCCTTGCTTATGAGACCTGTCCCTATGAGCACAGCTCACACTGAGGCCATTCCAATCAGAGTGGGAAATGTCAGGATAACCTTGCTAGTGGGACACTGCAGCTTCTGCCTGCTGGAAACTACAGAGGAGTATAGAAGCATAATTTTTTAAATTTGCCTAAACTTGGTAATGCTTTACAAGACCCTGCTGGAGTAGAAGTAAACATTCAGAAGAATTTTGATCTTGCAAGTTGTCAAAACTTTTCCAATTTATGAACAAAGGCTTGGCACACTTTTAGAAAAAAAAAAAGAAATGCAGACTGTGTGTGACACATTTAATTCTCTGGAGTCTTGTATTCACTTCTGCAAACTGAAGCCTGTACATATTTAAAAACACCCAAAACTAAAACAGTAGTACATGAAACTGTAACCAAGTCCTCTTTCTTTTTTCCCCTCACTTTTCTGGCTCAAAGCATAAAAAATTGGCAGATAATCAAAGGGGGAATAAGGCTGATAGACTAACTGCATGAAATTCCTGTGTAATAGGATTTGTGGAGGGAAGGATTAAACTCCTATACCTGATTGAGGATAACAAGTCATCTTTTCTTTTCCTCCTTAGAAAAATTTTGATTGAAGGCTTTAAAAGTGGCTCAAAAATATCAAGAATGCTCCCCTCTAATTCAAAACCTTGTAAGCAGGCTATGCCCTGTGCTAACTCCTCAGCAGTTATATAGGTCAATCCAACACTTGTAGCAAAGAAAGTCTTTAATATGTTCTTCAAAATAAATCAGGACTTCATGCTCATTCCAAAAGCAAACGATGAGATTACAGAAGAAGGAGGTGCACACCCACAAACCCATCCAGTGCCTCACCTGTTAGGATGATGATTATCACCACAGCAAAGATGTCTGGGTACTTTGCTAGCACTCCGGGAGCATCCATTGTCATGTATTTTTTACAAAACGTTTCAATGTGCTGCCCTATGATTTCATCAAACGTCGCGCTCCAGGCTCTGGCCACACTCGAGGTTCCTGCCAGAGGATAGAAAGGACAAAGATCACCTTTGTGGCTGGCACATGTTCCAAACCAGGGGGAGCCTTGCAAGGCTTTTCAATACAGAGGGCCTCAAAGCAACCTTGCATGTGCTCCCAGGTGCTGGGAGCAGCCTTTCATATCCATACCCAGCCCACAGCCTGTGTTCACGCTTGGCATCTGCTCTGATAGTAACACACACAGGCAGTGGGCCTCAGACTCACCCTGAGCTGACAAGATGAGAAAAATCTTTTTAGTCTGGCTTCTTTGCAAACCTCAGCTTTGCCTTTGATACTGCCCTGATTGACCTTTTCCTCACACCCCCAAGGGCCCTTCCCCCAAACCTGGTAATTTCTGTTACCAGAGAGGTCCAAAGGTAATGCTGGCAGAAGCCCCTGGCAGCCCCAGTTAGGGGGCTGCAGCCCAGGCAGAGGGCCCTTACAGAACCCAGCTGCCCTCCAGCAGGGCAGTGCTGGAGCACCAGAGCCTGGACCACACCAGTGGCCAGCTCTGCACTCTGGAAACACCCAGGTCAGCTCTGACCTCCAGTGCTACAGCACCCAAGCAGGAAAAAGACTCAGATACAAATTACATGTTATCTGAGCATAAGTCAGCTTATTGCAGAGTGCTGGGGATGACCACAGCAAGTGGAACAGCTCCTGCCTGCAGCAAGTGCTCAGGCTTTGCCCTCTGGGACCACTTTTTGTTTCTGTTTGAGTGCATCCAACTACATGCAGCTTGCTGGGGTGAGAACTGAACCTGGGGTCTCAGGACAAGCAAGCTGGGGATAATGTCTGGGCCATAAATGTAATTTTAGAGAACTGAAATAGTAACAACAAAGAGCTACCACCAGACAGTGGCAGCATTTTGTGAAATAAGTAGGTTTGGATAAAAGCCAATTTCTCCCTCTCCTGTGTTAACGTGGCTACACTCTCAAGGTCTCATACAGTACATACACTGTATATAACAGCATCTAATTACATATCATAATTATTTCTGTACATAATTACCTAGTTAAAAAAAGACCTTGGCTTGGTTTTGGCTTGCAGAGCAGCTCCTCAGAGGATGCCATCAGGGGCCCCTTTCCACCCAGAACAGTCTGTCCTGCCACACTCACCTGTGAGTGGGTGTTCAGGTCCCAACTCCAGCACCTGCAATCCTGTCAAACAATGTCTGTGCTCACCCACAGCCAAATCCTCTGCAGCAGCGGTGGGCAGCACCTGCAGCACAGCTGGGAACACTCACCTGCCCAATCCAGCTTTGCAACAGCATAAAAATTAAGCTGCAGAACAGACCTGTTGGGAGACTCTTCTGTTCACCAAGACAGAAAAGTGCACAGTGTGAACACGCCTTTAAAGAGTTTGGACATCACTGCCATCAATTTAATCCTGAGAAATTGCAAAAGTTATTGTACACCACATTACAATTTTTCAGGTTAGCTTTGGCATGATTTGAGGAAAAAGACTATTTTAGTGCTATTTTTTGTCCTAGCTGTAATATTTTACGTTCTAGGAAGGGAACACCCAGCTCCTGCATGTGTTATATTAGATGCCAGCTGCTTCGATGCCAGCTCCACATAACTATCAGCTATTTATCTGGAACTCTCTGTAACCAACAGGCTCGAGGGAGCAGAGGGAATCTGACATTCTTTCAACAACACAGACACCTGCATAATATCTTGCTGTTATTAGAGAGCACAGTGTAAAGACATTCAGCTTGTACCTAGGAGGATTTACCCAGTTCTGGGTCAGCATAGCCTCACCAGAGCAGATTTGGCTCCTGCCTACAGCACACAGCTCCCAGGAGAACTGCAGAGTTCAGGTGCTGGGCTCACTGCAGGAACAAGCACGGGCAAGGAGGTCACCGAGTGCCAGGAAACCCCTGCAGCACCTACTGAACAGAGATGCTGTTACTCATCATACTACCAGCTCCTGCCAGTTTCTAGTTCCTGAAACGCACCCCACCATCTGGCCCAGTTCCCCAAACCCACATCATCCCAGAAGAAAATTCACATCAGATTCTGGTCCTGGACACCTTTCTCCTTCTCTCTAGACCATAACTGATAAGTTGCACGCCCATTTATTTCTCATCACCCACCTCCAAGACTCCACACAAGCCTTCCCCCAAGTCATGTCACTTCAATTAATTAAAAGTTACTGGCCACTCATCCTTGGGACTCCAGGATTTCTTTTACCACCCTCACAATGCTTCCTGAGCCGATGTCTGAGAACCTCAGCATGAAAACACCAAGCTGGCCGAGCTTTTTAGAGATGCACATTTTTGATGCACTGCTTGGCATTTTCTCTGCAAGATTAAGAAAAAAACCAGCTTTCTGTCCCTTTCAAGCCCTGGCTCTGAAGTGCAGCGTCTGCCTGTCAGAGACTGATGTCCCGAGATATTTAGGGATGCCTGTGTGTGTGAGTGAGCAGGTCAAGCTTTGCCCCGGTGAGGCAGTGCCCTGTCCCCACACCCCCAGCCTCTATTCCAGCACTGCACTGGCACACCAGGGGCAGGGCTCCACTCTGCCTAACCCAGCTCCTGAGAGGCCAAATGACCTGAAGTCCCACCTGGAGGGAGGGCCCACAAAGGCCTAGGGGTTTTTATGGCTGACCATGAGTGCAGCACATCTTGACCCTACCTTCCTCTTGGAGCTTGTATCTGAACACTGCTGGAACCCAGGCATTGGTAGCTCTGTGTGCTTTTCCATATCTTCTCTGTCTTTCACTCCTTCTTCTAATTCCCTCTTCTTGGAAGATTTTGAGTAACTAACAGGTATAAAGTTTGTCAAGTTGGATGGGCTAAATTAATGCTGTGAGAAGTGTTCTTGATCAGATGTTGTAGTAAGTCTTTAGCCAAAGTCTCCTAATTTTTCAGAAGTTTGCCGGTAAACTTTTGTGTTGTTTTGACCTCTTGAGATTATCTGGTCAGTATTTCTCCCGTGTGTCTAACTCAGAGTACAGGAACCATTATAAACACTTTCAAAAGTCTCATTGAGAGAGCTGATTGGGGCCTAACAGTGGCAGCCAACATATCTTTCTCCTCCACGCCCCAGAAGCTGCTGGGAGTTGTCCTTGCTCTCAAGAGGGGCAATTAGGTCTGAGAGAAAAGCTGGGCAAGATAAAGAGACCTCCTACACCTCATATCCTCCCCCAGTGTTCTTCCGCCTTAGCCACCCTTTCTCACAAATTATGAGAAAGACAGTTTACAAATACACATTCTTGACACAGGACTGAAATAAAAGTAAGGAAGTTGTATTTGAACACATTCATGGATTGTATCTACTTATTTTTAATTGAATTTCCTGCCCTGTGACAATACACTGAGCAGTCAACTCTGAAACAAGAACTGCGACAGTTGTTCAAAATCCACTGTGAGAGGGGAGGGAAAAAAATCTCGGAAATACCACTCTGAGCCCAGATCCTTGGAGTAGAACATTCAGTAGGCAAAACTTTTCATTGTGCATTTGCAGAATCAGGTTTTGGGGCAGCAACCACGGCTATGTCACTCATTTTGGTCGTCCAGTATCATGGTAGGAATGGCCCCAAAACCAACTAGATGAAGGGCATGAAGGAGACGATTTATCATTACCTTTCTGGAACAGAAGAAAAATTACCAAGAAGTCTATTCAATTTTTCTATGTGTAGCCTAAGCAGAGTCCATCGTAGAAGTGTGGAAGAAATTAAACACTTACTTTTTTAAAAATTATTTTTATCTACTCCTTGCAGTGAATGTAATTCACAAAATAGCTACAGGACTCAGATTTCTTAAGGAGAGGAGTTTAATTGACTCTGGCTTTTCATCTTCTCTCTCTTTTTTTTTTTTTTTTTTAAGAAGGAGGAGAAGAGGAGAAAAATATTTCAGGTAACACACAGAGGAAAGCCAGCATGATCTCAGACAGGCAGCTGCTATGCCACTATGTTGTTCTTGATATGATCTTACCCTCTAAGCACCATGGAAACTAAATTCCGAGGAAATGCTTACAAATCCCATAAAATGCATTTAAAAAAACCAACTCCCTTTAGTAATTTAGCAAACAGTTGGTTTTCAGTTTAGCTAGCAAGCTTTCAGTCTCAACTGGCGAGTCTGTTGCAGCCTTAGAGGCGTGATAACAAGAAGCCTGCCCAGAATGTGCTTGAAAAGACACAAATCCTTAATTAGCAAAGTGTGGCTTAGTTTTAATGCATCAGCTGAGTTGCACAGCGCATGCTCTGAGCTTGAGCCAGGGCTTCTCCTAGTGGGAGTCAAGGGCTTAGGAGGGATTTGGTTTGTATTTTCCAGAGACTCTGAACCTGCAGATCATCTCAAGATTAATTCTGCAGCACTTCACAAGACAAAACTCTTATCTCCAGATACTTTAAATAGATCCCAAAGGGACCAGAATTAATCCTTGATCAACTGTGAGTACAGACAGTCTATATAAAAGCATCTCTCCATGAGCAGCTCCTTTCTCAGCAGAGAGGACACCCTAACAAGTGTGCAGAAGCCAGGGGATGCCAGAGGGAGGAGGTGGAGATTCAAGGAATTCCCAGCAGCAATAAGCCCTCAGCCAGCAGCACAGGAGCCATCAAAAACACATCCCACTGATGAGTCCTGAAACCCTGGTGAGCGCAAGAGTGAAGCATCTATTTTGTAACAGTAACACAGGCGTGACCAGAAACAAGGGTGACCCTACACACCAGGCTGCCACCTTGAACCGAAGCTAGGCTCTCGCAGCACACCCACCACACTTACCAATAACATAGGAGAGGATGAGGTTCCAGCCTGTGATGAAGGCCCACAGCTCACCCACAGTCACGTAGCTGTAGAGATAAGCTGATCCCGTCTTAGGAACTCGAGCACCGAATTCCCCGTAGCAGAGTCCGGCCAGCACGGAAGCCAAGGCGGCAATCAAGAAGGAGATGACGATGGCAGGTCCTGCGTTCTCCCGTGCCACAGCCCCAGCCAGTACATAGACACCTGCACCCAAAGTGCTGCCTACACCCAGAGCCACCAAGTCAAACGTGTTAAGGCATCGCGAGAGGCGACTGTCTTCTCGAGAGCAGTCCACATTTTTCCGACGAAGAAGCTGGTTTCCAAAATTGGTAATTTTTTGACAATCCATCTTCCTGTTTGGGCCTGCAAGAAAGATGCTGCCATCATTATCCAGACCAGAATATCCTCCTACATCAGCATCACTGCACAGGTACAGTGCTACAGCCCTCGTACATTTCAGCAAATCAAACTTCCCATTTTCCACCTTTTTACAGGGTGAAATGTCTCCTGTGACATTTTATCTAGACCTACCGTGGGGAATTAAAATAAACAACACCAAAGTTCTGCTTCCAACTCCTCTCAGTCATGCTGCAAACCCTGTGCAATCTCAGGAGAGAGGCAATACTCCAGTCCAGCTCCCACCCTGCTCCACCGTCACTCAGTGCCCACACACAAGTGGGCAAAACAAAAATGCCAATTTTGTCTCTCAGATTTCAGACACGTTTTCCTGTTCTGGGCAGGAGAGTATTTTAAAAGTGAATGTTCCAGCTTCCCCATCTACCACTGGTTCACATTGCAGAGAGCTTGTAGAGTGCACAAACCCTGTATTACTGGGATGAATCTAAACCTGAGGATGCTGCAGGGATGTACATAACACCTCTCAACCTGATAACCTGAGGGAACAGCTACTCCCCTCCTCTGTAAGATGTGTTGTACAAACTATCAGATTTTCTCTGCTTTTCTCTACAAATCCCCAGGCTTTGCAGCCACAGCCCACAAGGATGAACCTCATCTTCCATCTCAGACTGCATCCTCCAACTCCAACAGCCCCACCCTGATACCCACACTGCACCATTTAGCTGGCTTCAACAACAGGGCTTTAAAAATGTTTCCTCATTAATTATGGAAAAGGAAAAAGGTTATTTTATTTCAATGCAATGCTGGATTGAAACACATATTTTTCAGCAGTACACACTGCACACAGACATCAATACTATGTTGAGAATAACATGCAGGAAAAAATACTCCTAAATGCAATTTACAGTACAGTTCAGTGAGACTGGTACTTCATCAGCTCCAGTTAAAATCTAGTGTAATAGGTGGGAAAATACATGCTAAGAAACTTAATTAACTGAGGCAACTATTAAATCCATGCTTCAATTCTGTTACCACAGCATCAACTACAAAACCAAAAATCCTCTTCACTTTTCCAAGACACCCGTCATAAATCCTGGCTTAAATCCCTTTCTCTTGGCTATAACACTAACTCCCCTACTATGAGAAAATAATTACAACTGCAGGAACAGGGCTGGGGATTTATAAGGCCCACTGTGTCAGGAATTGTACCCCACCAACAGCTCTCAAACATGCTCCCAACGGACATGGATTTAGACAAATAAAGAAAAGCAGGTTTTGGGCCAATCTTACAAAAATCTTGTTTCATTAACCATGGGAGTTCTCAACACATGCAGAGAGGGAAAAATATCTTCTCCCTTCAGCAGGAAGACACACCTAAGTCTTTACCTAAATGCATTCATGTCAGATTGTTCACTCAATCTCCTTTTCACCTGAGCCTTACCCAAACCCATGTCAGCCAGGATTGCTTTTGGCTGGACAACTGCTCACCTCCCTAAAGCTGGGACAGGGCAGTCACAAACTTTGAACTGGTTAAATAGACAAGAAGACTGTGGTACTGGAGTGTCTCCTATGAATTCTGCTGCTTTCTAGGATGCCAACAACATGGTAGACCTTTTACTTCCTACACAGCCATCTACCTTAACAAATCCTGCAAAACAAACATAACAGTGGTTTTAATTCTGCACTGAAAATGAAGGAGTAACTGGTCCCCAATTCCACGCCTTGTCACACACATACACATCATGAGAAATCACTTCCTTGGCAAAAAAACAGGGCTGGGGAGGGGAAACGTCCCCAGGAGAAGAACAGACTTTTGGTGCAGAGATGGAGGACCAGAGAACTTGGCAAGGTCTTAGGGGGCAGGGGGACATACAATTTATTCACTAAGAAAATAACCTAGTGAATTATTTCAAGTTTATATATCACTGGAGAGTGTCCCAGAAGAAACATTTTCAAAGCAATTTCATTTGGAAGCTCCCTTGGGCCTATCTACAGGTGTGCACAGCTGTACTATGGCCATCAAGAATAAAGCAGAACTGCTTTTTATGAATAATTTGCTTAGAAGAGGGGCTGTTTAATTATGATAGATCTAGAAATTAAGACCAACATCCTGCAATTGGCTTAATGCCAGCAGACAGTGTTCTTCCAGGTGAACTCCAGATTAAGATATCAACTGCCTCTTTCACAAAAAACATGTCAAAGTCTGAGCATCTCTGCTGTGAATAGAATACTTCCTATAGCCTGCAGGTAACAAACAGGGAGCCGGCAATGCAGCCATGTTCTGTGGCCCTCACACAGAGCACAGTCATTCATCTCACAGGCACCACTGATCACCACCCAAGCATCTCTTACATGTTTTCTTTGCTTTTGAAACAGCAGGTACCAAATCAACCTTTTACTTTCAATTATATTCACTGTCACTTAACAAAGAGACCTTCAGTGAAGACAAGTGGGATTTTTTGCAGGAGAACGATCTTCTGGTTTTGCAGGATGCAGTACAGAGTCATTACACCTCGGCCCAAAACCTTCTGTGTATCATTTGTTATCTTTGCAAGTGTATCAAAGGGTGATTTTGGCAAAGATTATGATTTTTCCCGTCCTTAGAAGTTGGATCCAGCTGTGATTTCGCCTTCTGAAACAGTCATCCTTGACTTTGAAGTGACCCTTTGTTCTGGGCTGGTACCACTCCCAGCCTCACTTGAAAAGATGAGCCTTTCTTTTGAATGCACAGCCAGTATTCCTGTGGCATAATGCAGTCCTAATAACATAAAACAATATAAATTATACCAGAAATGTTTCCAGATGGTACCTAACCACCTTCAAGCTGAGGAAACTTGAATCTGAATGAATATAGATGAGTTTTGTTCTGCACATGCTCAGCTCTGGTTTCTCTGATGAGAAGCACTGAGCTGCAAGTTCCAGCCACTCAGCTCCTGGGTAAGAAATGGTTTCACCCCAAGACTTTGGGTATCTCCATGTTCTGGCTGGAGCTGAGGTCTTTGGGACTGGTGGGAAGCAAGGACACACCCAGGTAGCCTAGCAGGGTGGACCCCAGGCCAGGGGCCACATCCTTGGGTGAATCCTGTCCCACCAAAGTCAATGGCAAAGCTCCCACCAACTTCAATAGTCCAACTGCTACTGGTGTTTTATTTACAGTGCATTTTATGTTTATTACTTTTGTTCCCTGTCCAACTTTTTGTGTCTTGACTCTATTGTATTTTTAAATAAAATAAGATATTCTTCCTCCTTTTATCTAACAGTTAACATACCTATTATATCAGGTTGATAGATTTCCTTCCCCATTTCTCAAACCCGTAAGAAAATAAGCAATCTGCCATGTGGTTGACAGCAAGAAGTAAACCATAATAAACATCTGTCCAGCTAAACATAAAACACCATGTGTAAAAATAAGTTGACAGAGCACCATTTTACATAAGCAGTACTATCACTTCCTCAACAGTTACAAGTTGTTTCAGCTTCTGAAACGCCACCCCTTACCTACTTCAAGGCACTGCTGCTCCTGAGAATTTTCTTCTCCAATTTGCAGAAGAGCATAAAATTAAAGCTGATTAAGCAGAACAAGGAGTTTTCTACTAAGGAAAAGAGTAAACCTAACCCTAATCTTGCTGCATGTCCAACAAAGTCCCCAGACATCTCCTTGAAGGACAAGTGAGCTGAAATCCTTATTCAACATGGTCCCACACAGGCTTATATCCATTCTGAAACACATGGAAATGTCTACTGCCATCAGTACCCTTCTCTCACAGCAAAGTCAAAAGAATGCTGAGGAGAAATATCCTTCATACAACTGTATAATCACTGCTACAAGTCTGCAGAACAAAGAGCTTGCCCTGGTGCTGGTATATTTGACAATGTAGAATGGTTTTCACCCAGTATTTTTAGTGCAAACGTGGTCCCCAAACAAGCATGCAGTGATGATGCCAACCAGTTGATCAACACATAGGTAACAAACCCCTTTGGGAGCCCTTTCCAAAGGCTAGTTTTGCTGCTTCCATTCCCAAGGCAGCATCATTCACACAGAAGTCCTACAGAGGGAAAAGAGGTGGGGAACCTCAATTCCTACTACTGCTGTTAGCATTACAGGTATTTTTGGGGTGTCAGATTTGACTGTGGACTCCTAAAAGCAAAAGATCATAAAGTAAGGGACCAAACTACATCTCCTGAATGTTTTCTGAAGCATCAATCAGAAAACCAAATCACCAAGGCACATCAGTCCTGGGTGTGATCCATTCCAGTTTCAAGCAAGAATTGTGTCAGATACATCCTTCCAAAATGTCCTGCCTTGGAAAATTTTATGTTACTCTGCAACAAGCAATAGAGCAGAGGCAAGATGACTACAGAAGATGCTGAGCTTTCCCAACAGATATTCGAGCACCTGTCTCTAGACTTTTAGAAACAGAAGCAAAGGATGTGGCATCAAACCCTAAGCTGCATCTGGCTGTGTCCCTGGAGTGGATGCAAGTGTCCCCATCAGCTGTGCTGGAGAGGGCAGGCAGTTTAGGGAAGACACATTTGAGACAAATGCTGAGACCAATTCAGAGACTTCAGCTGTAGTCATTTGCAGATGCAGCCACCAGCAAAAAGGCCAGTGAAAGCAAAGGCATGACCAAGCATTATGCAAAGCTGGAAGTTATCTCACTATAGCAGCAGCAATGGCTGAGAGTCCAAGCCAAAACCACCAAAGTAGCTGCAATCCTTTGCATTTGTTTCATTGTGTGTGTGGAGATGTTGTCTTGCTGAAGTATTTTAACTAGAAAAGGAAGGTATTGTCTATGAGCTGGTAAAAATTTGTTCTCTTATTGATTATCATTATTTTTTTAAATATGTGTGCAAATGTATGCATGTATCTCAATATACATTAATCTAGATTACATTGAGTGTATATACTTATATACATATACGGATATTAATGTTAAATTCTTTGCCAATTTTGTCATTAAAAATCAAGATCAGCCACCAGCAAGGCATTTGTCACTCAGAGGAAA